GGGGACACGGAGGAGAAAGAGCGACAAGGAGGGAGGGAGGGACAAAGAGCGACAAGGAGGGAGGGGACAAAGATGACAAGGAGGGAGGGGAGAAAGAGGACAAGGAGGGAGGGTGGGGAGAAAGCGACAAGGGGGAGAAAGTGACAAGGGACCTGAGGGGAGGGGACACAAAGAGCGACAAGAGAGGGAGGGAGGGGGACAAAGAGTGACAAGGGAGGGAGGGGGGAAAGAGTGACAAGGGAGGGAGGGGGAGAAAGTGACAAGGGAGGATGGGGGAGAAAGTGACAAGGGACGGAGGGAGGAGGACAAAGAGTGACAAGAGAGGGAGGGAGGGGGACAAAGAGTGACAAGGGAGGGAGGGAGGGGGAGAAAGAGTGACAAGGGAGGGAGGGGGAGAAAGAGAGTGAAAAGGGAGGAAGAGAGGGGGAGAAAGAGAGTGACAAGGGAGGGAGGGAGCTTGACATCCATCACACACACAATCGCACAATCATGCAAACCTTACACACACAAAAACACACAATGCATTCCTTACACACACTAAATGCACCCCGTACACACACTCAATGCACCCCTTACAGACGCACACACTGCATCCCGTACATACACAGAAACACACCTTGCAGCCCATACAAACACAGATTCACACAATGCATTCCTTACACACATATCAGGACATCCCGACACACTCCACCCCCTGTGAACAAACTCATTGGTGGAACATGAAGGTGGACCCTGGGACCCAGACCTTGAGCTGTGTAAAGGGCCCCCAAAAAATGGAGCTGCTTCCCATTCTCCCAGAACACTGATTTTTGTGACCACAGTTACAAACAGCCTCCAGAGAGCCTGTTCTACACCAGACCAGTGGAGCCACACTGCAGCTAGAGCCCATCATCATCCTCATCTGGTTGTAAGTAGGCAATCTAGCATATTATTCGTGGCACTAATCTCTAATTTACATGGAAAGGGGTTCTAATATAAATGGAAGGGGTAGAGACGGGTAGTAAAATGTATGGAATGCATTTCTGAAAGTGTCACTGAATGGCAGTTAGGAAATGTGGTCACCCTAAGTCAGGGGCAGTATTACACAATCTGTATATGTATAAAAAAAATATAAAAAGTAATCTGCAAAGTACAAAATGTTTGTGTCATATGTCGTGCTAAAAATTAAGCTAGGAATGTGCATATTTTTTATTTTTTTAAAATAATTTTTAGAATAATGATACAGACATTTTATTTCTTACATTTGTGATGATTCTTTTTTCCTCTCTATATTCAAGGGACACTATAGTCACCAGAACCACAACAGCTAAACGTAGTAGTTCTGGTGTCTATAGCATATCTTTGCAGGCTTTTTAATGTAAGCACAGCCATTTCGTAAAAAGGCAGTATTTACATTACTGATGAGGAATACCTCCAGTGGACACTCAGATGGCCACTAGAGGTGCTTCCTAGTCGAGACATGAATGCCGCCCTATGAAGTATCTGCGCATGTGCGGCAAAGCTGCGCATGCGCACCAGAGAGCAATGACGCTCCTGAATAGAAGCGTTTTATTGCTCCCTGCTCGCACCCCCTATTTCGTTATTTTGACGAAATCGGTGGCGCAGCATCAGGAGGATCCCGGCACTGTATCCAGGTAAGTAAAACCCCTTCCCTGTAGTGACCCTTTAAAGTTATTATTTAATCATTTATATAGCAACTGCAAATTCCGTAGCGCTGTGCAATGGGATAAACAACTCATAGTTTACGGAATAAGAATATACCCGGCGAGTAAAAATGCTACCCCCCCCAGATTTTTTGGGGTTCCTACGCCCATGCATGTATATGTGTTTGTGTGTATGTTATGTGTATATGTGTTCATGTATTTTTGTATATGTGTAGATAGATATATTGGTGCTTGTGTGTGGTTGTATGTGTAGGTGTGCATGTACATATAGTTGTATTTACATGTATAGTGTATGTACTTGTGTATAGTGTGTATTTCTTGTGTATACTTGTACATATGCACTACTTGTGTATATGTACGTGAGTGTGTACGTGTGTCTGTGTATGCTGAATATAGGCCTTCATGCATATCCTGTAACTCCCCCCTTCTAGCACCATCTGCTGCACTGTTCGCTTGTTTTTTTTTTCTCTCTCTCCCCCCTCATTCTGTGATCTTCGCATATGATATTTACGACCCTCTGCAAGAAAGGTGTCTATGTTCTATCAAACCTGCCTTATCTGCACTCATGTCGCTTTAACTCCTGTATCACAACTCAACTTTGAATTCTATGCTCAGAAATGCTTCATACTTGAGAAAGGGAGGTTCACCCGAAAGCTTGTCATTAAAAAATTCTGTTAGTCCAAAAAAAGGGATTACAAGATACAAATTCTAGCTGGTTTTTACATCTACATCACTGGACTAATACGGCTACAATCTCTCTCTCTATATATATATATATATATATATATATATATCTCCACAAAGAAAGGCACACGCTGGACTTTTTAAAGAAAATTATTTGTCTTTATTCATAACACACGGGTTACAGCAAATCAACGTTTCAGTCCATCATAGGACTTTCATCAGGATCCTGATGAGAGTCCTATGATGGACTGAAATGTCCATACTGACACACTCATTAGTAAAAAAAAAAACCTGCAAACAAAAACCCATGCATACTGACATACACTCTCATTATGGACACACAGTATGACACACATACACACACATACACACACATACACACACATACTTACTGTTACAAAGTCCCCTCTGTCTGCTACAACCCTGTTACTTTGTTGCTTATTTTCCGGAAAAAAAAAGTTTCAGGTCATTCGTATGTATGAATGACCGACTACCCGGCCCCTGGCATGTGCCGCCAATTAACCCCATTCACCTCTACAACACCAAACAAGCTATCGAACGGCCACCCAGGAGCTGCGGTGTTGTGGTTAACCGCAGCCTTATTGCCCATCGACGGGGTGGTCGCCGTTCGTATTAGAGTGTCGAACTAAGTACCGAACTAAATGCTGAACCAACTGTTGAACGATCGACCACCCTACCTGAGGAGTGTGCCACTGGTTAACCGCCCAGAAGCTGCGGTTTTGTGGTCAACCACAGCCTAATTGCACATTGACGGGGTGGTCATCGTTCGTATATACAAACACGTGGCGGCGGCCATCTTTGACTGACGAATGCCCTGCGGTACCTGGTTGTCAAGCGCCTGGTGCTCTTTTCAGATACCATTTCATGCAAACCCCACTGTGATTTTTCAAGCCCCGTCCGTTCGTACATAAAATACAGAAGAGCGTGCCATTTGGTACTTTAAAACTATATAGAGTGTACCGACCCCTTGCAGAACACTATGGCCTAGGGCGCCTGGACGAATAACTGCCGAACAGCCCTCAGGACAATCTTTATCCCCATGGCGTTACCATACCATTCGTGAGATCTGAGCACTTTTCGTATATTTTATGCGCTCAGATCCCATTTGTCTGGGGATAGGTTGAATGTGACAACTAAAGAACATGGTGTAAAAGTTATATAATATTATTCAGTTTTCCTGTATGTATAAAAGTTATAATATTGCATCTACCTGGAGATAATTTAATTACTGTAACCATTGGGACTAATTATCTCCAGGCTAGAGGGGAGGGTTTGGGAAAGATGCACTTTGTCTTCATAGTTTATTGCTCTTTGTCATCCTGTGTACCATCAGGTCAGGAGGGGTGTTCCTCTGGCCTGAAAATATGTATTTAAGCAGTGCAATGCCAATCAATAAACCAGTCTTCTTACCCTCAACTCGCAGCCTCGAGTAGGGAAATGTTTTATACTAGCTCTACTTAAAGCTAGTTGGATGTCTTCACACTTACAGGATTATTGCTGAATGCTGTTTGGAGTTTCGCCACTACTTTCCAGGATTGGGAACCAGGACATCTAAGCGGCCCAACCCTCAGCCAGCCTGGGGTCAACCATAACATTTGGTGGCAGCGGCAAGATGGTCCTTGAGTTCCTAGGAGAAACACGGAATGAATGGAGAACACTTACGACAAATTGAAGCGCACCACGTTAAAAGATCTGTTAGAGAGCCAAGGTGGAACTGCCAGCAATTGACCTAGGAGGGAGCTGATTGCGGAGCTAACAGAGCTAGACCAGAGCTTCACCATTGTAGAACCACCGGTTATGGCTGGTGATGAGAAGACCAGGATTGTCCGGGAAAGACTGTATGGGCCGAACCTCTCCGAGGAGCCGATACGACAGCTAATGGCCGAGGCAGATGCCGATATCAAAGCAGCTAGAGAGCACGGCCACAGCTCAGCACGGCCTCGGCAATCGACCTAGGAGGGAGCTGATTACGGAGCTAACGGAGCTAGACCAGAGCTTCACCATTGCAGAACCATTGGTTATGGCTAGTGATGAGAAGACCAGGATTGTCCGGGAAAGGCTTTCACTGTACGGGCCGAATCCCTCAGAGAAGCGATACGAGAGCTAATGGTCGAGGCGGATGCCGATACGAAAGCAGCTAGAGAGCACGAAGTCCACTGGCCAACAGCAACGCCTACACTTCCAGACACCACCGGGAAGCGAAAGGTACCATTCGCGGCCTTCAAGTTCTTCCTGGAAAGGTAAGGGGGGATTGATGAGTACTTGCCAGACTTCGAAAGGCAGTGTGTGTTACACCAGATCCCCATCGAAGAATAGCCCACCATACTGTCAGGAAAACTATCAGGGCGAGCCTCCGATGCATTCCGGGCACTAGACCCAGCGGAGGTGACACAATATGCTATTGTCAAAAACACACTGCCGAGGCGATAGACAGTAACCCCAGAGACTTACCGCAGAGAGTTTCAGGAAACAAAGAAAAAGCCAAACAACAGGCAGTAACCGCTGAGGAAGTCTTACAATTATTTTTATTGGAACACTTTTATGAGGGACTAGATCCCAAATGGAGGGCCTAGATGAAAGACAGATAATCAACCACCTTGAACGACATGGCCCGGCTAACAGACGAACACCATGACCGTCGGCTGCAGGAATATTCAAACACATGAATGGCGACCCGAACAGACTTTTGGGATAACACACGAATTGCGTCCTGAACCGACTTCAGAGTGCCTGTACCAGCGGGGCCCACCAGGTATTCGGGACCACCCAACAATAACTATGACCGGCCATGGCAGACTTGTCACCGGTGCAACCAACCACTACATGAAAGATTGCCAGCTCAACACCGATCATGCCCAAGAAATTACACCCCAGCATCATCTGGGCCTACCTGATCAGCCTGGGCTCTCTGTGTGGGGCGAGAACCACCCATGGAGGAGCATCTGAGGCCACATAGCGAATCTGATGCAGTGTATGCTGCCTCTGACAACCGCCAGCACCACAGACAAGAGGTACCACTAGATGGTCGCACCGCTAGGGTGCTGAGGGACACTGGCGCTACCATTACCTTAGTACAAGGCTGTTTGATTCCGGAGCACAAACAATCAGGACCGACGGTGGCCGTTCGTGTTGCCGGGGGGGATGTATACAAGTTACCCACTGCCAAAGTACACTTGAACTGGGGAGCAGGGATGGTGAACGTGGGAATTATGGATAATTTGCCAGTCAAGGTACTGTTGGGCAACGATCTGGGCCCGATGACATCAGCGTATGTTCCTTCGTATAACACCGAAGCCCACCCTGTGACTACCCGGGCACAAGCAAGGACACAACCAGAGCTTTCACCAGTGCGGGAGGCGCAGGTAAGACTGCCCCAGGAAACGACAGGGTTCTCTCCCTTCGAGCTGCTCTATGGACGCAAGGTACGATGGCCCCTGGACCTTATCCGTGAGCACTGGTAGAGGGGAAAGACAGAGAATGCTGGAGTCCCTATCGTGCCATACGTGCTGGAGCTTCGGGACTGTATGGAGCAGTTAGCTAGGTCGGTCAGGCTAACCTCCAGACGGCTCAGAGGTGCCAGAAAGTATGGTATGACAGGGGGGCCCGGAGACTGAGTTTTTACATAGGACAGAAGGTGATGGTCCTTAAGCCGGTTAAGAAAGATAAACAGCAGGTGTCCTGGCAGGGTCCCTACCAAATAGTTGAGAAAAGAGGGGATACTACATATGTGATTGCTAGCTGCCAAGATGAAAGCCTGTGGAAGGCCTTCCCCATAAATATGCTCAAGGAGTATCTTGAGAGACCGGAAGATGTGGCAGCCATATGTAGCCCCACACACAAGGACCCCGACAGTCTCCCTATACCTGACCTAACTTAGTCGAACAGGTTCAGATAGGTGAACGGCTCAGCCCCACTGAGAGGGAGCAGCTAAATCTCTTACTACAGGAGAAGCGTTTTAAATTTTTCCAGGAACCTGGGTATACTAACTTAGCCACACACCAAGTTGATACCCAGGACAGCAACCCCTAAGACAGGCTCCTTACCGCATCCCTGAGGCTGTCCGAGCAGAGATGCGAAAGGAGATAAATGAGATGCTCAGACTGGGGGTCATTGAGTCCTCTGACAGCCCCTGGGCATCCCCAGTAGTTTTGGTGCCCAAAAAGGACGGTACTACCAAGTTTTGTGTTGACTATCGCAGGCTCAACAACAAGACCGCGACAGACGCCTACCTGATGCCCCGAGTAGATGAGCTGCTTGATCGCATACCCAGGGGGAATTACTTAACTACCATTGACCTATGTAAAGGTTATTGGCAAATTCCCCTGGCCAGGGAGGCTATCCCCAAGTCGGCCTTTGTCACCCCGTTTGGCTTGTACCAATTTAAGGTCATGCCATTCGGGATGAAAAAGGCTCCAGCCATGTTCCCGCACTTGGTGGATAGACTCCTTGATGGCTTCCAGGATTTTGCCTATGCATACCTGGATGACATAGCGATCTATAGTGAGTCCTGGGAGAAACACTTAGCTCAGGTAGGAACGGTGCTGGATCAGATTCGGGCCACCGGTCTGACTCTGAAACCAGAGAAATGCCATTTTGGAATGTCAGAGGTCCAGTATCTAGGTCACCGGGTAGGGTGTGGAAAGCAACATCCAGAGCCAGCCAAGATAGAGGCAGTTGCTAACTGGCCCACACCCCGCACTAAAACCCAGGTTCTAGCCTTCCTGGGCACGGCTGGGTACTATAGACGATTTGTACAGGACTACAGTACTATTGCTAAACCCCTGACTGCACTGACTAAGAAAAATCTCCCCAGACAGGTCCTGTGGTCTCCCCACTGTGAAGCAGCATTCCAAAATCTCAAGAAATCACTAACTAATGCTCCTGTCTTGGCTGTACCAGCCCCTAACAAACGTTTTATCGTCCATACAGACGCATCCATGTTCGGGCTGGGGGCAGTTCTCAGCCAAGTAGGAGAAGATGGAGGGGAACATCCTATTGCCTACATCAGCTGAAAGCTCCCGCCACGAGAGGTCAGCTATGCAGCCGTGGAAAAGGAGTGCCTGGCCCTGGTGTGGGCATTAAGGAAATTGACTTCCTACCTATATGGACAAGAGTTCACTCTGGTTACCGATCATAACCAATTGGTGTGGCTAAACCGGGTCTCAGGAGATAATGGCAGGCTGTCACGTTGGAGCCTGTCCTTACAGCCATTTAATTTCACCATCGCTTACAGACCTGGGAAGCAGAATGGCAACTGTGTCAGCCAGAGTGTTCCACAAGGAGGGAGCAATGTTACAAAGCAGTCCCCTACAACCCTGTTACTTTGTTGCTTATTTCCCGAAAAAACAGTTTCAGGTCATTCGCCCCTGGTGTGTGCCGCCAATTAACCCCATTCACCTCTACAACACCGAACAAACTATCGAACGGCCGACCACCCTAACTGAGGAGTGTGCTCCAGATTAACCACCCAGGAGCTGCGGTTTTGTGGTTAACCACAGCCTAATTGCCCATCGATGGGGTGGTCGCTGTTCGTATTATAGTGTCGAACTAAGCATTGAACTAAATGCTGAACCAACTGTCGAACGATCAACCACCCTACCTAAGGAGTGTGCCCCTGGTTAACCACCCAGAAGCTGCGGTTTTGTGGTTAACCACAGCCTAATTGCCCATCGACGGGGTGGTCGTCGGTCGTATGTACGAATACGTGGCGGCGGCCATCTTTGACTGTCGAATGCCCAGCGGGACCTGGTCCTCAAACGTCTGGTACTCTTTTCAGATACCATTTCATGTGAACCCCGCTGTGATTTCTCAAGCCCCGTCCGTTCGTACATAAAATACCGAAGAGAGTGCCGTTTGGTACTTTAAAACTATGTAGAGTGTACTGACCCCTTGCAGAACACTATGGCTGGGGGCGCCTTGACGAATAACTGCCAAACAGCCCTCAGGACAATCTTTATCTCCATGGCGTTACCATACCATTCGTGAGATCTGAGCACTTTTTGTATATTTTGTGCGCTCCGATCCCAGCTGTCTGGGGATAGGTTGAATGTGACAACTAAAGAACATGGTGTAAAAGTTATATATTTTTATTCAGTTTTCCTGTATGTATAAAAGTTACAATATTGCATGTACCTGGAGATAACAGAATTACTGTAACCATTGGGACTAATTATCTCCAGGCTAGAGGGGAGGGTTTGGGAAAGATGCACTTTGTCTTCATTGGTTGTTGCTCTTTGTCATGCTGTTTACCATCATGTCCAGAGGGGTGTTCCTCTGGCCTGAAAAGATGTATTTAAGCAGTGCATTGCCAATCAATAAACCAGTCTTCTTACCCTCAACTCGCAGCCTCGAGTAGGGAAATGTTTTATACTAGCTCTACTTAAAGCTAGTTGGATGTCTTCACACTTACAGTATTATCGCTGCATGCTGTTTGGAGTTTCACTACTACTCTCTAGGATTGGAAACCAGGACATCTAAGCGGTCCAACCCTCAGCCAGCCTGGGGTCAACCGTAACACTTACACACACTGGCATAAACACATTTACTGTCACACACACTCACTCTGACACTCTTAACCTGTGAACTACATACTACTCAAGCAGGTCAAACTCAAAGTCTAACACGGGCCAAATAAACAAGGTTTATGTTTATGTGGGCCACAAAAAAGCTAAAACTTTTCTAGGTTTATTTCAGTATAAAAAAAGTTGCCTAACTGACACTTCGCGTCCTCACACTCGTAGGGCTTCAAAGTTAACAAAAGAGCAAATTTATTTTAAGGAGATATGTATTTGCATATAACCAGTGTTTCAGTCCAACTACCTTGACATATTAAGAAAAGTATGGTAATAGGACTGAAATGGTGAATGTATGCAGTTGCACAGCTGTAAAAAACAAATTATGTTATCTTGTTGATTTTGAAGTCACATGAGTGTGTTCTTCAAACTTGATGATCACATTTGGAGGCTATTGTGCATGTGTGGCAAAAAGCTGCACGGCCAATCAGCATCTCCGTTTAGCACCTCCATGCAGACCCAGTCTAATACACTGCCCCTCCGCCCATTCTAATACACTGCCCACAAATCCAATACATTACCCCAGAGTTTTAGTTACCTGAGCCTGTTCCTAACAACTGCCACTATGATCTTCCTCTACAGTTTCTGGTGTTTCACCTGCCAGGAGCCGACAGCATTGAAGTTTTGTGCATGTGAGAATGTACAACCCTGAGGGCTATATGGAGGACTGCGGGATACTGAAAAACAAAGTATTTTTCCCCTTAGCCATCACTAATAACAGCTTTGGGGCTTGACAAAGCTAGATAAAAGTTACTGCCTTTTTGTCAAGAATAGGAAAATAAGACAATGTAGTTTCTACTTTATCTTAGTAAAGCTTTTGATTTAGTTGGAATTCCAGTGAAATATCAAATTTATCTTTATGAAATACTCATTTCATAAAGATACATTTTAAAAGGGGAGGGGGTAATAGTGCTGCTTTAAGCATACTTTAATAGCATTAAGGAAATTTGTTGATGTTTATAGCAAAAGCAGAGAGGTGGCTGGAAGTAACTAGGACAATTCAGGCAAATATGCAAATATATTATATGTGAAATTGTGGGGACCCTGACAGCAGCTCAAGGTCTGGGGCTCTGGGGTCTGCTCCAAATCCAAAAATCCCATGGGTCTTCTGACGGAAACAGAACTTCAATCCCTTTGTCCTTTCATCCCATTCGGTGATGTACCTGGGAGCCCCAGCGCGGGAGGTGAATGTATCTGGGAGCCCCAGCACGGGAAAACTTCCCGCCTCCTGGACTCCCAGTTACAGAAAGCCCGCCAAACCACCATTGTCCCCAAAGGGTGTCCCCACCACTTTCAGGGACCCCTAGAACGGTAAACACCATGGACAGCCACCGTTCGGGGGGGGCCTTGGGTGAAACCAGGCAAGGGAAGAGTCTCCTTTTGGGACACAAATGCTCCACCTGGCCGCCACCCAGTTATACAAATGTTGGCCACCCAGGAGAGCACTCATTAATTACTTCCCTTGCGGTTTCACACTTGTGTTGCCAAAGTTCTAATTGATTGGTACGAACATTCCAAGGGGCACTGGGGAGGTCCTCGTTCGGGAATTTAACGAGGTGCAAAGCAATCCACAAATGCTCCCCCTGGACGGCATTCGTATAACAAACGGGCCGCCACCCAGAGGAGGCACACACCAAGGCTTCCCTTGCAGGTTGTGGTTTTGACACCTCATTACGAGGTGCAAACGTTCTAAACTAACCTTCTAAATGAGCTGTCGGGGTGGTCCTCGTTCGGGAGGTAAATGCATTCCCTACGTGTAGGACCTCCCGAACGGGGAGCAGGCACATTCATACAAAAATAACAGGTAAACACACAGAATATAATACAGCAATTCACGAACAGGCAGCGATCCCACCACAGCGAGAACAATATATACGCCCAAAATGTGCAGTAAAGTATAAAATCAAATACCTTTATTTTCTTCACTTAAAATCTCTACTGGGACAGCCAGGGAAAAGTCAAAACCTCAATAATGCTTACATATTTCGTGCCTCAAAGGCACTTCATCAGAGATTTAATTTTTTGCAGACTTAAAAGGACATCTGGGCCTGGAGTGGCACACTTGAGCGCATGTTATAGAGAATAATTACTGTTCTGTTCACGTGAGTGGTTCTATGTCATATTATTAGGCTCTATCATCCTTATTTGGTTTTCCTATGTATATTTTTCTTGTTCTTTATTAGAGTTTCCTCTCACATACTGTACATCTTATGATAATTGTAGATTATACTAGCTTTAGTGTAATTATAATCTTGATTTTATTAATGACAGGAGGCGAATATTTGCTTAGGTCTCTCTTTACTAGAACTCCACAGCAGCACATTATCTATAAAAGGCTTCTCCCAACTAACTATTTCCTCTTTCACGCTGCGACAAATAAAGTACATAAACAATACACCACAAATACAATAACAGGAGAAACAAACATAACATAATGATGAATGCCATCCGAAATTGAAACCATGGAACCAGTGGGTGAAGCCTTGACCTTTATCCTGTAGAGTAGTCGGATCTAAGAACTGTAGCCAAACCATTAAACTGAAACGAGATAAACAGAGTCGAAAACACTGATTAGCGAATGAAATGTACTGAGAAAACATGAATCCCCATCGTAAATACTGACCGTATAATATCCCAGATAGTGAAAAAACCTGAATCCCCATCATAAAATACTGACAGTACCATATCCCAGATAAACCCCAACTCCCCCAGATAACCAACCTAGCCCAGGAGACCAGGTGAATAAATAACAAGTCAGTCAAACCAACAAATAACAAGGGGAGGGAGAAACTGGGAGGGAAATATTCGCCTCCTGTCATTAATAAAATCAAGATTATAGTTACACTAAAGCTAGTATAATCTACAATTTTATAGCATGGCAGGAGGCTTCATATTTGCTGTTTTAACGCTCGGACAGCAAAGACCAAAGAAACACGATCCGCAGTACCAACATAAACTCTGCAAAGATAGCTGCTCGTAACCGTCAGGAAAGCGTACGATGTCTTAGAGAAAAACGCCCGCCATGTCGGTACCTGAAGTCGCAGTGTTACGGACTGAAGTGAACCGAAAAAACCTATACGCCCCGCCAATGCCAACCACAACCAAGCTGTACATGAAGGGCGAGAAAAAGGGAAAAACCATTTAAACAAACGGTGACGTTGAACACCGCCTAAAGGTGGGAGCGCTACCAAAGTAAGAATATGACCCTCGGATCCGAATAAGGCTGATAGACAACTAAGGTCCGAACCGCCGAACCCATCTGAAAGAAAAACAAGGTATAATAACGGAAATAACTCCAGAATCAATTAATGGGCAAAACCCAACAAAACCCACCATAGGAGCATGACAAAAATGCATGTACCCCCTGGGGAGATGAATACCCATCCTCAGGAATTGTAAAGGGAATTCTAAGCAGAGCAAGGCCCGCCGACAACAGTCGTACGCGCTACCTAATCTAATTAATATGGCAGTCCTCGGTAATAAAGTGACCGAACAATACCCGAACCCTGTAAAAGCGGTAGAAAAATTAGGAGATCCGTACCAGACCCAACTACGTCAGGGTCGCCATGCAGACCAAAGTCTCACAATCCCCGAGATCAAATGAGCAAGGGTCCAGGGAATCCAGGAACTAGGTTCGACTCTGCCGAAGCGGAGATTATTATTCCAAAGTACCAGCAGACCTAGGCACCTGTAGAAAGGTCCTGAGACCAAACAAACGGAGGAGAGTCGTCCGCGTCTCCGTGTCGAACACTCCTGGAGGGAAGCGTCCATCGCTGAGCAAACTGGTCCATCATCCAGCCGAACTGGTCGGGACCTGATGGGTTCTCCTCCGTGGACTAAAGTCTCGCAAGAGGTGCTCCATTGGTCAATATGATAAAACTGAGCGCTGCAAGCAATCATCTGAACAAACAAAAAGGGGGGGGGGGATGAGTATAAGTGGTAACACTGCCAGTTGTGCCTGTAACCCTTGAGGGGTTGTGCACAGCTCTATATAGCATGCCTGTGATCTATATCATCCACTAAGGTTCCCAGTAGCCTAACCTGCCAGCCACATGGGGCACAAAGCCAGGACAGCCTGAGGGTCCAAGTCGTAGCTGAGTCCCAGCTAAAGCTACAGCACATGTGCCTGCCATCGACGGAACTAATGCAGTAAGTATGGTAACTGGCCGGCCCCGCCCCCACCCGACCACGCGGTCGCGGGGAAGTGGATGCTCAGGGCCACCACACTGCATGGGAAGGTAACCACCCACTCATGCCGCGGGAGCAGTTATACTGCAAGGGGAAGCGTGGGTCGGGTGGGGGTGGAAGCAGAGGATCTCGCTCGGCGGACGGAACCGGCGGGCGGGATCCAACACGTCGGACCGCCGGAGTCTTACTACGGGGTCCCGGCGGTCGGCAACGGAAAGCGGTCAGAGGACCGCTTTCTGGCAGCCGCAAAACTGACGAAAAGTGAAGGGGGCAAAGCCACCCAGAAAAGGTAGAGGGAGGGGAAAAAAGGAAACCCCCTCAAACCCGAGAAGAAAACGATCCCCAGACAGGGGGCCCAAAACAGGAAAATGCAGAAAAGTCATAAGAGAAAATGCATCCCTACAGCAAAAAAGTAAGGACAGAAAAATACAATCTAAATAAATAAATCATAATGGCAGTAGGAAGGTAAACACATTCTAAACAAATAAATCCCTACAGCCATAAGAATGTAGATGCAGAAAAACAGAGTAAATAAATCAACTAAGCAATCACTACAGCACTTAGCAGGTAGGTGTAGAAAATACAGTATAGCTAAATAAATCAATCACTAGAGCACTAAGAAGGTGGATGCAGAAAATACAGTATAGCTAAATAAATCAATCCCTACAGCACTAAGTAGGTTGATGCAAAAATACCCTCTAAACAAATTAATCAATACAGTAATAAACATATAAATACAGTAAAATATCCACAACCACCCATATAAAACAGGAGGCAGTGATACTCTGACCTGTACTGACTGCGGAGCAGCAAAGAAAGAGGAAATAGTTAGTTGGGAGAAGCCTTTTATAGATTCCTGATTTTTTTGTCTCTGGTTTTTTTATCTCTATGTTAATGTGCTGCTGTGGAGTTCTAGTAAAGAGAGACTTAAGCAAATATGAAGCCTCCTGTCATGCTATAAAATCTGTATTACTTTATTTCATGAGGAGAAACTTCACTCTGTCGCATTTAGAAATACAAATTTGCATGATTCTTATTCACGAATCGATCTATGCTTAGTACAAGCTAATACTTTGAAAGAAATAAATACAATCCAAATTAAGGATAATACTTGGTCAGACCATAGTTTCTTAATTTTGGAAATAGGTAAGATCCTACAGAGATCTACTGATTCCTGGAGAATGAACGACTCTCTCTTTAAGCTCAAGATAAATCAAGACAATATAATTAAACTCTCAAGGTTTTTTTGGCTTGAAAACTCTACCCCTGATATTCTAGATTCCACTTTATGGTCTTCATATAAAGCGGTTATTAGAGGCTATCTTATTAAAATTGAAAAACAATCTAAAACTAGGATAAATAGAGATCTAACAGATCTAAATATTCAATATTTTAACCTGTCTAAAATTAATAAAGAGTTTCCAACTCCTCAATTAAGATCAGCACTTCTAGAACTACAAAAACAAATTAATTTTAAGACAGAAGAAAAGATTAGAAAAACAATTAATAAATTGAGATTAAATACTTACCATCAAAGTAACAAAGCAAATAAAAACTTAACCAAAAGATTAAAAAAGCAAAATTCAAATAATAGGATCAATAAATTGGTTGCGGATAAAAATACATACTCTTCCCCAGAAAAAATTGGGCAACTATTTAATGAATTTTACAGTAAACTATATGATTTGGATATTTCATCAGATAATCAAGATATTAAACAATATTTGGATAATATCAATATCCCAAAAATCAATAATCAAGAGTTAGCCCAACTTAATTATGAGTTTACAATAGAAGAGGTTGAAAGAGAGATTGATAAACTTCAATTAAATAAGACACCTGGTCCAGATGGTTTTACTAATCTTTTTTATAAAGTAATGAAAAAAGAGATAACTACTCCTTTAACGGCTCTTTTTAATGAAATGGCCAATACCGCTAAAACACCAGAGGAGTTATTACAGGCCAATATTCTTCCAATATTGAAACCAAATAAGGATCCAACTGATGTTAAAAATTACAGACCAATTTCTTTAATCAATACAGATATGAAAATATATGCAGCAATCTTAACAACTAGATTAAAACTTCTTGTTGAGAGAGTCGTTCATTCTGATCAGGTTGGATTTCTGCCAGGTAGATCCTCTGATACATGCACTAGAAGAATAGTGAATATTTTGGATGGTGCACTCCGTCGGGAGATTCCGCTGCTGACCCTGTCATTAGATGCCGAGAAGGCCTTTGACAGGGTCAGTTGGCGTTTCCTTGATGAGGTGCTGATTTCTTTTGGATTTATAGGGTGGATTCATGATGCCATTTTGGCACTCTATTCTGAACCAACAGCTAGAACTGTAGGTGTAAATATTCAATCAAATTGGTTTAGTTTACATAATGGCACACGCCAGGGATGTCCTTTATCTCCCCTTCTTTATATTTTAACTTTGGAACCTTTAGCTATTAATATTAGGAATAACTTGAATATCACAGGTTTTCCAATGAAGAATTCAGAAGCAAAAATATCACTTTATGCCGATGATATACTATTAACACTCACTTCTCCAGAATCCTCACTTCCTCAAGTTTTATCTGCTATAAAAAGCTACTCTAAGGTATCTAATTACAAACTTAATATATCCAAATCAATTGCTGTAACTACTAATGTTAATATCCGTAGCCTAAAAGTTCTCCGAGAAAATTATGATTTTGTATGGACTAACAGGGTTTTTAATTATTTGGGAGTCATAATTTCACCTCAAGTTAACAATATTATGGAAATAAATGTATTGAATCTCCTAAAATATACAAATATAAAATTAAAAGAATGGCGTCTGACCGAATCCTCTTGGATCGGCAGGATTAACATAATTAATGCCTATATTATGCCCAAATGGTCTTATCTATTTAGGATGATTCCCCTTCAAATTCCAGAAATTTGGTTAACCATGATACAATCTAGTTTTCAAAAATTCATCTGGAAAACGACGAGGCCTAGAATAAGTTCTAAAGTTCTTTCTAGGAAACCTCAAAACGGAGGTATAAATTATCCAAATATTAGAAACTGTTATTACGCTAATATTATTGGTCACATATACAAATTGCAGGTTGAATCGTTTAAAACAGACACATGGTACCAAATTGAATCCGAGGCAGTTGGAAAAGACAGATTGGAAATGTATTTATGGCGTAAAAGTAATAAAAAAACTACAGAATTTCTATGTAGTAAATCATTAATTTTGTCACAAATTATTAGCGCATGGGAGAAGATAAAAAAACAAAAAAAAATCTCCGATAAAATAATTAAGTCATCCCATTTGATCATTTTAGAAGACAATATTGAGGACATTTCTTTAAATAAATGGTCTAAATTTCAATGGACGATTGGAGATATCCTCCATGAAGACCAAATTTTACCTTTTGCAGATATTCAAGCTAAACTTCTTCTCCCTAATAAAGAATTTTTTTCTTATTTAAGAATTAAAAATTTTCTGAATTTGTTTTTACTAAATATCTCACCAAAAATTGATATTCTTTTTCAAACTATTTTCAGATATACTAAGGTTAATAATATTCTTTCAAAAGCTACTAATTTGTTATCCAACCTTGATCATCAACCCTTAAATATACTTGTTAAATGGAAAAATATCCTGAAGATCGACATAACTGAGCAGGAATGGTGTATGTCTCTTAGAGATACTCGCAAATATATTCATTGTCAGAATATATTTGAATGTCAATATAAGGTCATGTATAAATGGTATCTGACTCCACATAAATTAACTAAGATGTATCCAGGTCAAACTTCACATTGCTGGCGTTGTGGTTCTACAGAGGGAACACTTGTTCATATATGGTGGCATTGTAAATTGGTTAAAAATCTCTGGGAATGGTCCTTTGAAATTCTTAAATGTTTATTTAATATTACAATCAAAAAAGGTCCAGATACAGCATTGCTACATTTAAATTGGAAACTTTCTTCCACTCCATCTATATGCCTTGTAAATCATTGTTTCCTCGCAGTTAAAATACTAATAGCAAGACAATGGAAGTCACATCTCCCCTTTATGAGGAGTCAGCTTGTTAATCAAATTTTACATCAATTTAAAATGGAAAAAGACTTACCATTTCATTCTATGCTTTCTTTAAAAAAACAAGATCAATATATAAATTGGATACGGATCTTAGAAAATAAATGAATTATCCTTTTGCACTCCTCCTGCTCGGAATGAGATAGTCCTGTAAAACCCTATTATTATAGGGATATTTCTTTATAAATCTTCAGACTGACCATGGCCCATATATATATATATGTTTGTATTTACATAGCTATATCTATTTTTATTCGATGCGAGTTCTATAAGATACAGAATATATTTCTACTGAGAGTCTTTGGGTTGTTTAGCTTGGGACTTACTTAATAGATACGTTAAAATAGTTGTAACAATGTAAATTTTATGTTTTGTTTTGTCATTGTACACTTGTCTTATTCTGTATGCACTTTATTACTTGTCATTGTATGATAAAATGTTATAATAATAAAAAAAGAAAGAAAAAAAAAAAAAGAAATACAAATTTGCATGTTATCACTTTTGTTGCACTCTTTTTTTTCTTTATTTAAATTTATGCAATAGTGTGCTATTTTGTCAGTAGATTAAATTAATGTAAGCACTTGGAACAAAGTATTCAGCGGTGCTTAAAATTAACTAGTTAAGAATTAATCAAATATAGTTGTCAGGATATCACTGACCTATTTTCTTTCTGTTACAACCATTTGTTTGATAATGATAAAAATAATTTTACAACATAATACAAAAAACATAACATGTTCACTTGTACCCAAACAATTTCAAATATGTATGATCTCATGGCAATTGCATAACTCAATAGTTCTATGGAAGGAAAACAGCAAGAAAAGTGGGCTAGAACAAAAAAAGAATTAGATTAGAACAGAAGGTCAGAATATTATCATGTGATCCTTGCATAACTCATCTAATCACAAAAATGGACCAAAAATGTTGTTTCCTGTTACTCACCTGGCAGCTGAGCTTGAATATTCTGCCAGTTCTGCCAGGAATTAGCATAATTAAGAGGAGGGGATGGGAGATCTACATCAACGGAATAAAAGCAAAAAGATTGCCCACTGCTCTTCATTATTCAAGTGACAAGACAAGCTCACATTACTTAATGATGCAATCCAGAACACAAGTTAAAGTTAGCAAATGCACATATTGCATCAAACAAAAACATTTTTTATAAAAATAAAATACACATATTCACACACATATAAATATTACACATACACACATATACATATATACCAATATTTTGGGTGTTGAACATTTTAGTTTCGTCATGGGATATAAGTATAGTGGGCTAGGCAACCATCGAAACTCCAAAGGTTGTGAACTAAATCTCCCATAAAGCTCTTAGAGTCATAATACTGGCAAAGCATTAAGGGAAATGTAGTCCACAAAATCTGGAGTACTGAAAGTTGCATGATTCTGTTAAAAATGCTAGAGAGAAGTGGAGGAAGGATGTGGTTTAAATAGGCATTAGTGGACCTGGCTGCATCGAACAAATCTGTATGTACTCTAGATCATTTTCCCATGTATAACACAAGAGTTAATAAGGTTATAGAGACAGAATCTTGATGAAGTTGCTAGGGAAATATTTATGTGTGCTGTATATAAAATGTTTCCTGGGGCGGAGACAGCGCCTGCACAAGCTGGACGCACATCTAGACAGCTCTGCAAGCTTACCCCGATATAAAGGGTAATTTCCGACATCAGCTCCACTATTGCGCCCAGAGGGCACCAGACAGACACCCAGAGGTATAGGGAAAAAGAACAAAAAGCATCGAGCGGACCCTGACTCGGGATCCAGAGATATAGGGGTCTTTCTGAAACAGACAAGATAGCGACTGTTGAGGCCTATACCTCAATGTCATTGGATGATCCCCCCTCATCTCAGCCACGCTCAGCACCACAGACAACTGCAGAGTTGCAGGACTCAGCCCTATCTACTAAAGCAGATATCAAGGCACTAATGACAGAAATCAAGGGCATGTTCAAAGTGGATATGGCACTGATCCGTGAGGCAGTGTCTAAGCTCACTGACAAAGTGCAGGCAGCAGAGGAAGGCATGGAGGGAACCAAGCTGGCACAATCCACTACCGATGCCACAACAGGAGCGCTATAGAAACAATGCGCAGACCAACAGGCGCAGATAGCCTCCGTGAAGGATAGGGCCAGAGCACAAAATTTTAAAATGCGGGGAGTACCGGAAACAATTGCAGGAGCCAAACTCCCTCACTACTGTAGGAGGCTTATTGCCACGCTGCTAATGCCCAAACAGGCAAAACAACTGTTTCAGACTTACATAGTTACATAGATACATAGCTGAAAAGAGACTTGCGTCCATTAAGTTCAGCCTTCCTCACATATGTTTTTACTGTTGAGGAAGGCTCCTAACACAGCTCAAGATGCACCCAGGGACGTTTGAAGTAGCACAGATGGCATTTTTCCATGGATTTTCCAGACATACCCAGGTATGGCAAAGATCCCTCAAGCAAGTTACCTAGCTACTACAAGAGCACTCCATTCCTTACAAATGGGGACCGTGTCAAATCCTGGCTCATAAGCTCCTAACACAGCCCAAGATGCATCCAGGGATGTTTGAAGTAGCACAGATGGCATTTTTCCGGGGATTTTCCAGACATACCCTGGTATGGTAAAGATCCCTCAAGCAAGTTACCTAGCTGCTACAAGAGCACTCCATTCCTTACAAATGGGGACCACGCCGAATCCTGGCTCATAAGGCCAGCAAGACACATCTGATATCACCCTCTCTGAAGCATCAGCTTTCCTCCAGTCCCTCGGCATACCGGCAGAGAAGGCTCAACTGACAGATCGCCCATCTGTCACAGGAGTTGTACCCCAACACACAGGAAAGAAGAAACCCACAAAAGGTGGATCTAAAAGGCCTGTTACCGAGCCCTATAGTGGCCGGACTTAACTTATTAATATTGCGAGAATCAAGATCAAGGATACAGAAATTCACAAAGTCAAGACAAAGCCGGGTCAGGATACCAGAAAATACAAGTCTAATACGAAGCCGAGGTCAAGATACCAGAAATCACAAGGTGAATACGAAGCCGGGGTCAGGATACCAGAAATCGCAAGGGCAACACAAAGCCGGGTCACGATACCAGAAATCACAAGGTCAATACGAAGCCGAGGTCAAACACAGAAAATCACTAGGGAATCACTAGGCACACAAAGCGAGGATCTATACAGAAACCACGATAGAGCAATGAATGGAGGCTAAAACAAGCCTTAAATAGGCTCACAAGAGTTCCCATTGGTCCACGTTATCTTTGCGAGCCCAAACAGCATTGGGTCGCCTAGCTGATATGGTCCCTTTAAGGTAATGATGTCATGGCTTAATTTTAATTTATTTCTAGGGGCTGCAGAGGGAGACATTTGCGGGACCAAAGGTAAGCATTCTATTCATGCCGCGCGGCCACAAGGGGCATGCAGGCCACGCGACCCGAGAAGAGGAGCGGCGCAGTTGCTGGGTAAAGGTACGTTTGTGACACCATCCTGGACTGTAGAGGGAATTACCCCATTTGTATCCAGAGGAAGTGGGTGGGGGACAACCACCTTACCTACATGAAGTCTGCACCAACAGGTACTTGTTTCATTATTTTGCACTGTTTTATAATGCATAAGACCCATTATTTGTTTATTTCTCTATAACCTTTCACTCGTTCCACTGGCTCCATAAGCTAATGGTCTAGCCCCATGTTTAGTCCCCCCCCCGCCCTTTTTTTTTTACTAGAACATGCAACAGCATAGAGTCGCTTTTTATGTAGGTGTAACTATGCACGCTCAGCCCAAGTCCTCGGCCTTCTGAACAGGAAAAGGTCCTACTAGCTGTGACCTACAGATATTGAAGGCTTGTAAGCCTATTACTCACCCCATAAGCGCCTTAGATGAGCTTTTGCTCAACAACATTGTGATGATAAGCTATACGGTGCAATAAGCCCCATACCTGCCCCCCTTCAGATATAGATCACTTACACTTTCACTGACGAGAAAAGGAATCCTGGTTACAATAACTTAAAATGAGTTGACTCATGCTATGTGATCTTAATGTCAAAACTATTATAACAAGCTCATTACTGTACGATTCTCATGCTATGTTGTAATTCAGCGATAACTCGCAAAAATAAAGAATTTATAAAAAAAGGTTTCCTGTATATTTTTACTTCTTTTCTATTTAAAAATGACTATATTATACAAATGTTAATTCCAATAAACATATAAATTACACATTTTTAACTTTTAAACATAACAAAGGTAACAATTTCTTACTACATGACAAACATCATATTATTGAAAAAAATAAATAAAACCTATACAAATAAATATAGGAGACATTTAAACAATAAGAAAGTGATTTCTTTGTTCCCGATGATCTTTTTATAATCAAAAAGTGTATAGTCATTTAGAGAAATTGCTCATTGTTCAGTTATAATTAATGCTTATCATATGCTTTACTTGTTAGGGTATGTACTTCGCTGGTGTTCCAAAAAATGTAAGAGAAGGAAAGTTGCATCCTGCATGGAGAGTAGCCAACATTCTGTTATCCAGCTGTTCTAGACCACTTAAGCAAACAGCAAGGCCCACACAACCCTTTCTCTTTTAATTAGGTGGCATGTTTATAATAGTGGTTATGGCACTACTACAGGACCCTTATTTCTTAGACTTGACCTTGTGAGACTTGTAATCTGACATAACCTTTTTATCATGTTTTGTGCCCACAATGTAGCCTTCCAAAGGTTTCTAGCAGAATGTTAAAAAAATTATTCGTCCCAGCGATTACATGAAAACCTGTTGTTTGTTTTTCATGAAGCAATGGATAAATCTGTATTTTAATATCCCTACACTATTTATTCAGCTTTCTACTCACATTTTCTCACCGACAGAAATAACACAGCTAGTAAGAAATGTATTTTCTAACATTATTCTTATATGTATTATTTTAATGTGACTTGGCTGTTCTTGGTGGCAGAAACTGTAGATCAGTGCACTAAAATGTATAACAATTGCATATTGCAAATTGATTTAATATATAAATGTAAATTGTAGAGAACTGGAAACTGCAAACTTTTGGTTGAAATGTGACAACGGCTGTCATTTTTCTTTTTTCAAATCAATACTTTTTGGATTTATTTCACTGTAATCTATCATTTAATAAGTAAAGCCCAATTGTTTTATGAAGTAGAAAGTAGAGTTTAAAAATGTTTCTGCTTCTCAGCAGCTAGTATCTTTCAGTTTAATAATTATTAATAGAAGGAACTGGGGGTTTTATTAAAACATATCCACAAGATTTGGGTATGCTAGAGCACAGACAGCTTAAGAACAAGTGAAAGTGAGGACTTGGCCTAGATTACTTGCTACAGTTAATGCAGCAGTGCAGATGATTGGCTTGGCACTTTTTTGTTTAAGAACAAGTGCCAGTGTAGATTGCAATCTAAGGCTACTTGCCATGTGTCAAACAAGAAAAAACATAGAAAAAACAAGAATAACAAATAAATTGCCAGTATAGCCATTGCATGTATTCTTTTACAAATTCCCACCAAAGGCAACATGACTTACCTAAATGCTCACCCAAACACCCAACATGGACCTCAGGATTGTTGCTAGGATTGTTGCATTTTATGGCCTCTCCCATATATAATGATTAAAGCCCTTCATAAAACCAGCCCTATACCATGCCTTAAAGGGACACTACACTGCCCCAAAGTAAAAATAAATACATTACTTTTAAAGGAACTACAACTACAGCTTGTTCTGGTGACTATAATCATTGCCTTCAGGCATTTTCATGCAAACACTTCCTTTTCAGTGAAAATGCAGTGTTTACATTCCACCCTAGGAACACCTCCAAAAAAGCATTGGATTGGCTAAACATGGGCAATTCTGATTATGTCACCAAGGACGCACATCGGGGACGGGGCCCCCCTTCCATAAATATAGAAAAATCCTACTGTATTCAAGCCTGAAGGTGTAACTCTGCATGCTGTTAGACTCAGAAAAACAAGCAGTCTGCTGACATCATCAGAAGTGGTGGCCTGATCCACATTGGTGGCTTGATCACAGTGCTTCCCCATAGGATTGGCTGAGACTGACAAAGAGGCAAATCAGGGGAAGAGCCAGGATGATTCAAACACAGTGCTGGCCAATCAGCATCTCCTCATAGAGATGAATTGAATCAATGAATCTCTATGAGGAAAGTTCAGTGTCTGCATGCAGAGGGAAGAGATACTGAATGTTTGGATGCATTTTAGGCAGCCATGACCCAGGAAGGATCTCTTACAGCCATCTAAGGAGTGGCCAGTGAATTTATCACTAGGATGTAATGTAAACACTGCATTTTCTCTGAAAAGACAGTGTTTACAGCAAAAAGCCTGAAGGTAGTGATTCTACTCACCAGAACAAATTCAATAAGCTGTAGTTGTTCTGGTGACTATAGTGTCCCTTTAAGAAATGTAGTATTCATGCAGAATTACAACATTAAAAGAAAAGGTAAACTTTATTGATTGAGTCTTGAATGAAAGTAAGCTTATGAGGTTTGTATCAATAGAGGCTGGTTGATAGAGGCAGGTGGGACATTGCCCCCAGTCTTTGCTACAAAACAAAGAGATTACAATCTATAGGCATTGTAAGGCCTATTGATAAGTTAAATAGTTACATAGTTACATAGCTGAAAAAAGACTTGCGTCCATCAAGTTCAGCCTTCCTCACATATAGGTGATACTCGAAAAATTAGAATATCGTGCAAAAGTTAATTTATTTCAGTAATGCAACGTAAAAAAACTAATATATGAGATAGACACATTACATGCAAAACAAGATAGTTCAAGCCGTGATTTGTCATAAGTGCGATGATTATGGCTTACAGCTCATGAAAACCCCAAATCCACAATCTCAGTAAATTAGAATATTACATGCAATCAATAAAACAAGAAGTGTAGATAGAACAATATCGGACCTCTGAAAAGTATAAGTATGCATATGGACTAAGTACTTGGTTTGGGCTCCTTTTGCAGCAATTACTGCTTCAGTGTGGTGTGGCATGGAAGCTATCAGCCTGTGGCACTGCTGAGGTGTTATGGAAGACCAGGATGCTTCAGCTCTTCTGCATTGTTTGGTCTCATATCTCTCATCTTTCTTTTGGCAATGCACGTTTGCTTTTGATCCAAAAGAAGGCAATAAGGTCAGGCAAGTTTGCTGCCCAATCAAGCACAGTAATCCCACGGTAATTGAAACAGTCTTTGGTGCTTTTGGCAGTGTGGGCAGGTGCCAAGTCCTGCTGGAAAATGAAGTCAGCATCCCCATAAAGTTCGTCTGCAGAAGGAAGCATGAAGTGCTCCAAAATCTCCTGGTAGATAGCTGCATTGACCCTGGACTTAATGAAGCACAGTGGACCAACACCAGCAGATGACATGGCTCCCCAAATCAACACAGACTGTGGAAGCATCTTGCAGTGTGTGCCTCTCCACTCTTCCTCCAGACTCTGGGTCCTTGGTTTCCAAATGCGATGCAAAACTTGCTCTCATCAGAAAAGAGGACTTTGGACCACTGAGCAACAGACCTCCTTATGGAGGGTGTCAATTATGGTTTTCTGCACAACTGTCAGATCAGCGGTCTTCCCCATGATTGTGACTCCTACTGAACCAGACTGAGAGACCATTTAAAGGCTCAGAAACCCATTGCAGGTGTTATGGCATACTTAGCCGATCAGAGTGGGACACTGTGAGCCTAGAATATTGCACCTTTTCACAATATTCTAATTTACTGAGATTGTGGATTTGGGGTTTTTATGAGCTTTAAGCTGTATAGACTTGTTATATAAAAGTACTAAAGTGCACTATTACCATACACCAGCAATTTTTATTGTTTCAACACCAGCAGTCTACATTTCAGTACAAAAACCTGTATTAAAATGTTTGTTAAATTCTTTAAATTCATGAGTAAGCACTGCCAGCATCATTCCTGGAATTTACACTTCTATTTACAAATTGATAAGGAACAAAATATTTAATGGATTAAAACAGTTATTTCACTTTTCAGTATTTCATAAAGATGTAATCAAACTTCCTGTAAAAAAATAAATAAAATGTATTAAAAATGTAATCTTTATGAAATACTTATGAGTCATTGAAATTCCAAAGCAATGCAAATGTCAACTCCTCCGTCAACTTTTTTCCAATCCCAATAGCAGTCATAAATGATGGCTGTGGGATTTATTCATGGTCTCTCTTATCTTCTTGAGACATCATCTATGGAGACTACCAGGGTCTTGCAAGATCTATATGTTGAATTCTAGCCCATGTACAAGTCTACAGCACAGACACCTTTCGTGACAAATAAAGCACCAGGAGAAAAAGAAGACCGAGAGAAAAAAAAAAGATATGGAGGCCATGAGAAACAGCTTTGAGTAAGTAAAGCTACCTTCCAGTGCATCCCTCGGAGGTGTCACCGTCAGGGGTCTTTGCAAAATATGCAAAAAAAAACTATGCAAAATAAAAGTGACAGATCTGCTTTAATCAATGAATTCAAGAAGCCCTTTGTTAACTGGAACAAATTTAAGATACCTCATGAAAATTGTGCAAATGTTTATTCTTCAAATGTTTTATTATATACAATTCATACTGTTTTTATTTTATTTATTTTTTACAGGAAGTTTGTGTCACTTTGCTCTAACAATATTGAGCTTGAATGAAGGCTTATGGGCATTTCCGCTTTCAAAGACAAAGCCTTCTGATCCAAAAGTGGAGTATGAAAATATACTTAGCATTGCTAAGCATCTTCTAAGTGACACCAAGCATGTCTATCACAACTTTGTAAGTGTTATGACGTGTTAAATGTATTACATTTTTAAGTTTTAATGACTTTAAAGAAAAATTACATGCCAGACATGTTAAGCTATAAATGTATTTTCCTAACCTCTGATCCTTAACGGAATACAGTTATTCTAAGCCCCAGTTAAAAAAAAAAAAAAAAACTTGCAGTTCAACATGTGATGTAAATATTATAAGTTTTTTTTTACAGTATATAGTTACAAAAACATTCCTGATCAAACACCTGATTTTAGTAAACTATAAACTGTATTGAGTGTGTTTACAGACATGCCACAATTAGGGGCAATCTGCATGACAATAGTCTTTATACAAGCATTTGGTACATTGCAATAGCATGCAAAACTGTTTTGTATGACTCTAGAAATATACACAAAAACAGTTAAAAAGTGGAAAACAATAGTTTATGAGAACAATAAGAATGGACAACAGCCTAAATAGCTTTCTCTTCAGTGGGTCCCCACTTAGGTCTCATACATATTTAAGCACACTTCTGCCATTAGAGAGATAACCTTGTATATCAGAAATAAGAACAGTCAATATCCACAATATTGGCAGGTTCCGTCTGCCTCGGCAACCTCAGTATCGGAAGGTTCCCTCTGATACAGCAACCTCAGACAACCATTTTTATCTTCATTGGGCTTCACCAGTGAGATGTAGCTGATAAGAACAGAGAGCAATAGGCACATGTCTGGACCCAAGTCATATGCAAATTAAGTACATTTTCCAGTTATGGAAATAACTGTGCCTTGCAATTTCAAAAGCAATGGAAGCAAGTAGTATTGTCACCAGCAGAGCAGCACTGTTTAGCTCCCATAAATACAGTGTAAAGAATGCTTATCGTTAGGATTTAAAAATCTGAAATGTACTCTTAAATAGAGATGTCGCGAACTGCTCGCCGAACTGTTCGCGAACTGTCCGCTGGCGAACAATAGCGTGTTCGCGTTGGGCGAACATATGCGATTTCCGGTCCGCCCCCTATTCGTCATCATTGAGTACACTTTGACCCGGAACCTCACAGTCAGCAGACACATTCCAGCCAATCAGCAGCAGACCCTCCCTCCCAGGAAGTGTCTGCTGACTGTGAGGTTCCGGGTCAAAGTGTACTCAATGATGACGAATAGGGGGCGGACCAGAAATCGCATATGTTCGCCCAACGCGAACACGCTATTGTTCGCCGGCGGACAGTTCGTGACATCTCTACTCTTAAATAATGAATTTGACATACTGGTATGGAAATATTAGTAGCTGCAGAGCTGTAGCTGACCATTTGTTAATCTAACCAAACTCGCTCTAGGATTGATACAAGTGAATGTGAATGCTCAGCACATTCATTATTTTCTGAGCATGTTCACATGTTCCTGAGCTGTCTGTAACGATACCTTACCTGGGTCCGCCGATCCCGCGCGGCACGACAGTTTCCCCGGCTACTTCCGGGAGGCGGCGCAGCCTCTCGGACGCTGCCCGCTCGCGGCAAAATCCGTTTTATGACGCGGCGCATGCGCGCTGACGTCATAATGATTTTGCCGCGAAAATTCAAACGCGGCCACGTTCCCGAACCTTTTGGGGGCGTGGCTTTAAAGTGACACACACACATTAATATAAAAGGGCATTCCTGTCCACCCCTCAGTGCCCTAGTGTGGTTCTTGATTGTTCCCCTAGTGCTCTTTTACTGTTTAGCTGTTTTTCCGGTATTTTGACTCTTGGCTTTCGTTCTGACTATTCTCCTATCTGTCTCCCTGACTTTTGGCTTGGCTTTCTCGTTTATCCCGATTTCCGTACTCCCTTGACCCTCGGCTTTTTCTTGACTATTCTTTGACGTTAAGTCCGGCCACCCTAAGGTCCGGTATACGTCCCTTTCAGGGTTACCATCTGTGTGAAGGGGTCACTATCGTGACACTGTCTTGACTTTAACTTTAGGTGCCCTATAATTAAAGGAATACTAAAGGATCTCCCCTTCCCCTCCTCTCCACCCCCACCCTAATTTGCTATAAAAATAAATAAAACAAGGTTTTACTTACCTGTTTTCAGCTCCTAGCCTCCCTCAGTGCTGCTTACCTCCCACGGTGCAATGTAATGCTGCTCATTCAGGACCTGATGGGTACCTGATCCAAATATGCAGTTAGTGCTGTGCATGCATCCACGCTTCTCTATAGGAAATCATTGAATCGATACTTTCCTATAGGGGCTTCCACATCACGTGACCGGGTTTTACTTCTTCAGTGAAACAGAAGCACCATTATTTTTTGTCAATAGAGGTAACAACTAGAGATTGAATTAACCATGCATTATAAACATTGCAGTTTCTAAATAGGACCACTGTACCCAGACCACTTAATTGAGTGGCCTGGATGTCATTAGTGGTCCTTTCAAGTAAGAATTAAATGATTACATTTATTAAAAATGTTTATCTACACAGACCTACTCAACCAATTCCTTTGTTAAAGAAGTGTCACTTTCCAGGACTTTTGACAATATGTTTACTTATCCCTACATTTAACAAATATGTATTTGTGAGTTGTGAAAAATAAAATTGAATGTTGATTTACTCATTGCTTTATCCTGCAATTGGGTGCCTCCATCTTAGTTCTCTGTCAATCATTGTTAGAAGCTCACGTTGAACCTTGCAGTCAGCATAGAGAAAGCATACAAAGAAGAGGAGAAATTGAAAAGGTTCTCTTTCTCCTCTTCATTTGCAATGTTTGCCCAGGGTTTCCTGTGTCTGAACTGGATTTTGAAGTGATTTGTTTAATCTTTATTAAATATTTAAAATAAACATAGCATCACATAAAAAAACAGCATAAGTTGCATGTGATATTCAGTGTTTTTATTAAATAGTATAAATTACTGAGACGCGACAGTTCCCTTTAACATTATTACTGTTACAAATTTCAAACAAATCGTGTCTTAACGTTTTTGGTTTTTTTTAAAAAAAAGAAAGTAATTTGTCCACTAGGTTTTTTTTTTAAAACTAGAAAATACAAAGAAGACATAAAATTGAATTTTTTTGTTTTGTAATGTTTCTCTTACAGAAATCAAAATATCCTTCAGAAGGAGAGCATAAACTGGATACTCTGCCCACACTGTCTATAAATGCTGGAGAATTATCTTCTATTCAGGTACCATTATTTCTTATTTCAAAAGCACTGGCAGCAGTTTCTTTCATGATGAGACATGTATAATTATGCTGCCAAATAGCTAACTCATAGCTTACCTATGTCTCCATTTATGAGATGTATGTAAAGTCCTGTATTAGAAGGGAGATGGAAACAGGGCATATATATTAAAGGGACACTATAGTCACTAAAACAACTTTAGCTTAATGAAACCGTTTTGGTGTATAGATCATAACCCTTCAGCCTCACTGGTCAATTATCTGCCATTTAGGAGTTAAATCACTTTGTGTATGCACCCTGGTCACACCTCCCTGCATGAGACTTGCACAGCCTTCCTAAAAACCTCCTGTAAAGTAAGATCTAATTTTTAGCCTTCCTTTATTGCAAGTTCAGTTTGATTTAGATTTTCCTATCCACTGCTATTTTAATAGCTTGCTAGAGCCTGCAAGAGCCTCCTGTGTGTAATTAAAGTTCAATTTAAAGATCAGGAGATAAAATCATTTAAAGTAAGTTTTCTGATTAAAAGTGAAACCATTTTTTTTTCATGCAGGAACAAAGTGATTAAACTCCTAAATGGCAGTAACTGAGCAGTGATATATAAGATGCATGATCTAAGTATTCATACACTATAACTGTTTCATTAAGCTAAAGTTGTTTAGGTGACTATTGTGTTCCTTTCATTTTCACAGATATGAAACCAAATCAGAAAAAGTGTGTTGGGCCAGTGTGGGTGCATGCCAGAGGGTAAATGTATGTTTCTGGTGACTTGTATGACTGTCAGATGATCCATGCAAAGAAGGTCCCACATGTCCGTGGGTAGGTTACCAGCTTGGGGCCCCCTGCCTTCTTAGGGCTTGATAATAAGGCCAAGCAAATTCATGGTTCCAGGGATGCTGTCTAAACCCTGGGCCCTACACAGACATCTAGAGTCACCTTTGGTTGGGCCTGCTCTGCATCCAGGCACAGCAGATTTTAAGGTTGCAGAGCAGGGTGGCCAACCCAGGCTGCACATGCACAAGCACTCCTGAAACCCTTGTAATTGGGCAGACATTTCCTGCAATTTCCTTTTCTAACCTAACGTTATAGGTAGATTTCTCTGATGCAAAATGTTATAACAGATTTCCAGTTTAGTAACATATGCACTTTAGTAACAAATGAGTTTGGCTCAATTCCTATGGAAATCCTTCTCCCATCAGACTATCCCCTAGTATTCAATCCTATAACAAGTCCTTAGAGGGATACTATAGTCACCAGAACTACTACAGCTTATTGCATTTGTTCTGGTGAGTAGAATCATACCCTTCAGGCTTTTTGCTGTAAACGCTGTCTTTTCAGAGAAAATGCAATGTTTACATTACAGCCAAGGGATAACTTAACTGACCACTCCTCAGATGGCTGCTAGAGCTTCTTCCTATCTCAGTCTTGCCTAGTGGGCATCACAACATATCAGTATTTCCTCCCTCTGTATACAGACACTGAATCTTCGTAGAAATTCATTGATTCAATTCATCTCGATGAGGAGATGCTGGTTGGCCAGGGATGTGTTTGACTTGTGCTGTCTCTGCCCCTGATCTGCCTCCTTCACAGTCTCAGCCAATCCTATAAATCAGCAGACAGCTTGCTATTTAGAGGCAGACAGGGGCAGAGTCAGCAGCTTCAGGCTTGAATACAAGTAAGATTTTACTATATTTAGGGAGGCAAGACAGGGCCAGGGGGGCTAGGTGGTGGTTTTAACACTATAGAGTCAGAAATATATGTTCGTGTTCCTGACCCTATAGTGCTCCTTTAAATTCAATTTCTTCAGAGTAACTTATGGCCTCCTAGAGTAACTGTCACTTCTCAAACCTATTGTGAAGAGACCAATCTCGCCACTGTGCATTGGAGGAGCCTGGTTGCCCGCCTGCTGCCTTTAGACTATGGCCCCATGTTGAAACGCTTGATTTTCCCCTGCATAGACACGATAGCCGGGTCATTCGGTGCTTGCCCTGTTTGAGCAGTGATACCCCAGATAGCTATGCCATGGAGCACATTCGTATAATGAAAGACTATGGGAAAGACTTTGGCTCCATGGCAATTGAACTGTATGTGTGTGATCTGAACGCCATTCAGTAATAATGTGCGCTCAGATCTGAGCTATCTGGGGATATGTTGAATGTACCTGTTTTATGCAATGGCTGCACAGTTATATATTTTTTAAGTAATTTATTGTCTTTTGCTGCCATGTGTTCAATGGAGTTTTGCCTCTGTCCTTGGAGATAATTGGATTACTTCCCAATTATCTCCAGGATAGAAGACTCTGTGGAACTGGTTTTGGGCAGAAAAGCCATGCTTCATTTGGTCACAAAGGACTACGATCTATCTTTTGAACCACTGGACCAATTTGTATGATTTTGACGTATGTTTGTATTTGGAGTATGCTGATTCTGAAATGTAAGTTGTATGTGAATGTGATGCATACTTTTAAAATCATGAATAATGTGGAGAAACTGTATTTCTCTGCATGTGATAATTACATTACCCAATGTGTAAGGTAATTGTATCACAGGCAGAGGGGAGGATTTTGTGTGGGAGTGTCTGATTGTATTGTACGTGTTTATTGATTGTTTTCCAAAACCCTGTGGGTGGTACTAATGTGTAAGAATGTGTATATAAGAACAATAAACCCACAGCTCTGTCTGTTTCTGCTTGACCCTCAAAACGAAGCCTTGTCTCGTTCTTGGGGGGACTTGTTGTATGCTGTTCCAGTTCGACTGCTAGTATAGTTTTTCCTATTTGGCTGTTTACAGCAATCGTATGCTTCTCCGGTTCGGTGGATTGGTGTCTACAGTAGCTGCCTGTATATCTGGAAGGGAATATCTCCTAAATGGCTTTTAACCCCTTTTATGCCTGGGGGTGCCGTTACACCTATCTATTACTCTCTTAACTTAATTAGTGGCCTGACACTCCAATTTCACCTTTAAAGGGACACTATAGTCACCTGAACAACGTTAGCTTAATGGAGCAGTTTTGGTGTATAGAACATGCCCCTGCAGCCTCACTGCTCAATCCTCTGCCATTTAGGAGTTAAATCCCTTTTTTTATGTAACCTAGTCACACCTCCTGCATGTGACTTGCACAGCCTTCCATAAACACTTCCTGTAAAGAGAGCCCTATTTAGGCTTTCTTTATTGCAAGTTCTGTTTAATTAAGATTTTCTTATCCCCTGCTATGTTAATAGCTTGCTAGACCCTGCAAGAGCCTCCTGTATGTGATTAAAGTTCAATTTAGAGATTGAGATACAATTATTTAAGGTAAATTACATCTGTTTGAAAGTGAAACCAGTTTTTTTTCATGCAGGCTCTGTCAATCATAGCCAGGGGAGGTGTGGCTAGGGCTGCATAAACAGAAACAAAGTGATTTAACTCCTAAATGACAGTGAATTGAGCAGTGAAATTGCAGGGGAATGATCTATACACTAAAACTGCTTTATTTAGCTAAAGTTATTTAGGTGACTATAGTGTTCCTTTAATTTCTGCCACTGCCCCACCTAGGGACGTATTAGCCGCGAGGCAAACAAGGCATTTGCATTATGCATTATTAAAATAACACAATAAAACCTATTTTTTTTTTGTTAATGATTCAGTTTGGTGGAGACTGTTGCTTCACATAAATAAGATTTTATTATTTTTTTACTTTTTACTTTTCTTGATACAATGGATAATTTATTTTCTGCTTTAAAAATAGAGCTTGCATTTTTACAGTACATTAGCACTGAAAGCAGGGTAGAGTTGCAGAACTAGTTGTTTAGGAATAGAGACCCAAATTGAGGGTATAACCTCCAGATTTGAGACGCCTGACAAGATAACAATAACCTATGCAAGGAGCTTGCATGAGTCCCTTAAAATATTTGGCAAACTTACAATTATGCTAATAATTTTCTTCAGCAGAACCAACACTGACAGGGTTATTCAGTAAAGTGAAAATTGTCAGTAATTCAGAGTGAATAGAAAGTGAATTTCAAACTTAAAGGACCACTAAAGTCGTCACTTAATTGTAATAAATTGGCCTGGGTGTAGTAGTCCTATCCTTTTAACTATGCAATGTAAAGCACTGCAGTTTTTTTTAGAAACTGCAAGGAACACATTGCAGGTTTAAATCAACCTCTAGTGCAGGGATAGGCAACCTTCGGCACTCCAGATGCAGGGCCGGATTAACATAGGGGCTGATGGAGCTGCAGCTCCAGGCCCATGGAATAGGCCCATTGATTTTTTACATTTTTTTTTACACACACTACTCTTAGGGATTCCACCTGGCTTTTATTTTATTGGCACAGACAGTATTTGAGGCTGCCTGGCTGGTGCCAATATTGCAGTGATATTGGCATTACAAATGCTGGTATTTTTCTCAGTATAAACAAGAGATTACTATGCAACCAGCACTGGCCTGTAGGGGTCGCTGTGTGTGTGGGGAGAGAGGCAGGGATAGGAAATTCCAGCATATCCCTCCCTGCCTATTTATATACTCACTGATCTGCAGGGGTGCAGCTACAGAGAGTACAGACAGCACCTCCCACCCTGCAGAGACAGCCCACAGATGTGGGGAAAGGCTACAAGGAGACATACACTGAGACACTAAGGGACACTGGGAGACATTATGCAGACACTGAGACACTAAGGGACACTGGGAGACATTATGCAGACACTGAGACACTAAGGGACATTGGGAGACATTATGACACAGACACATGGGGACACAGTGTCCCCATGTCTCCCAGCCAGTGCCCCTGGTGTCTCGGTGCCCCCTAGTCTCCCAGTGACCCCTAGTCTCCCAGTGTCTCACTATCCCCATGTCTCCTAGTGCCTCCATGTCTCCCAGTGCCTCAAGTGTCTCAATGTCCCCATGTCTCCAAGCTAGTGTCCCTAGAGTCTGTGGCCCTGGTGTCTCAGTGTCCCCATGTCTCAATATCCCCATGTCCCCCAGCCAGTGTCTCTAGTGTCTGTGTCCCCATGTCTTCAAGTGTCCCCTATTTTCCCAGTTTCCCCATGTGTCTCAGCCAGTGCCCCCTAGTTTCCCAGTGTCACTGGTGTCTCTGTGTCCCTAGGTCTCCCCGTGTCCCTAGGTCTCCCCATCTTCCTAGTGTCCTAGTGACACATACATAGACACATGGGAATACTGGAGGACACAGGGAGACATGGGGCATTGAGACACTGTGATACATAGGGACACTGTGATACATTGGGTCACTGGAAGACATGGGGACATGACACTAGGGGACACTGGGAGACATGGGGCAATGAGACACTGATACATAGGAACGCTGAGACCTGGAGTAATCGACACATGGGGGCACTGGGAAACATGAGGGCACTGGGAGGAATCCATCTATACAGCATAATCAAACTAAGTAGTTTTTTTGTGATTTTACAGCATTTTCTCTTATGTCACTCCTTGTGATTTACATCATGTGATGTCGCCCATACATATTTAATTATGCAAATTAGTAAGGCCGGTATGTTTTTCCAAGAAAGGTGGCAACCCTAACTACTTTTCACATACTCTTACTTAAGTATGGAAACTTAAGAGGGATGTATGGGAACAAAACTTGTGTGGACTGGCTGACAATGAATATAGTTAAAGAGACACTATAGTCACAAGAAAAACTACAGCTTATTGAATTTGTTCTGGTTAGTAGAATCATTACCTTCCGGCTTTTTGCTGTAAACACTGTCTTTTCAGAGAAAATGCTGTCTTTACATTACAGCCTAGTGATAACTTCACTGGCCACTCCTTAGATGGCTGTAAGAGATCCATCCTGGGTCATGGCTACCTAAAATAAATGCAACATTCAGTGTCTCCTCCCTCTGAATGCAGACACTGAACTTTCCTCATAGAGATTCATTTATTCAATTCATCTCTATGATGAGATGCTGAATGGCCAGGGCTGTGTTTGAATCATGCTGGCTCTTCCCCTGATCTGCCGTTTTGTCTCAGCCAATCCTATAGGGAAGCACTGTGATTGGATCAGGCCACCACTTCTAATGATGTCAGCAGACTGCTTGTTTTTTTGAGTCTAACAGCATGCAGAGTTACAGCTTCAGGCTTCAATAGAGTAAGATTTTTACTATATTTATGGAGGCATGAGGGGCCCAGGGGGGTTAGATGGTGGTGTTAACACTATAGGATCAGGAATTCATGTTTGTGTTCCTGACCCTATAGTGATCCTTTAAGGTAATGCTGACTCTGGTCTCTCTAACACTGTGGCATGTTCCCTTTCTTCTACACTCACTACATGCAGCTTTTTTCTGTCCCAGACTATATACCAGGAGCGTCTGCCTGCTAGTAAGAAGGTAAGTAGACAAGTGGACCAGCGAGTGCTAGGGGACAGTCCTTAGAAAGCGTTGAGCGAGCACATCATTAGATGCATTTATGCCAAGCTCAGGGTGCTGTCTGCATAGTATGCCCTTAATTGGCCAGCTGCAAGATTGGCAGTCAGTCTGACATGCATTCATGCCAGGCTGGCCTTCTAATTCTTTGGGCAGACATGTCCTCTTTTTGGGCATGTTCGCCCCTTTTGGCAGGTTACGTGATTTGTGTCAGTGGCACACCCTTTTACTGTGCCCATTGACTTCCTGCTTGACTGGACACTGCTGTTAGGGGTTATAGATTTACTTGAAAGATGAAAACATAAATTAGAGGGAGATTAGCATAGGGTATGTGTTTTCTTATAGTTGCTGTTTTCTTTCTCTCCAGCACCATCTCCATCAGAAACATGACGCTTGGGAGTGTTTGTGTTTTTGGTCGATATGATTCTTTAATTAGGCCCGTCATAAATGTCAGCACCAGGCCCATTGGGCTGTTAATCTGGCCCTGTCCAGATGTCGTGGACTACATCCCCCATAATGCTCTTACATCTATAATGCTGGCAAAGCATCACAGGATGTGTAGTGCAAAACATCTGGAGTGCCGAAAGTTGCCTATGCCTGCTCTAGTGGCTGTGTTCCAGGAAGCCACTAGAGGTGCTTTTGCGCCTTTAACCAAGTTAAACTCATGTGAGGCAGAAGACCCTATTGGAAAGCCTAAATCAGCTGTGTTCTTGTTTGACTTTTCCCTTTAATGTGAAATTCACCTTTAATTCACATTGAATTTCCAGCAATTCTAGTTTTACAATTACAATTATTTATATTGCATCAACATATTCTGCAGCGCTGTACAAAAGACAAACATTTAATCCTAACAAAACACCTATGGTATATGAGAAGAGTAGTTAAACAGGGCAGTAAATAACCCTGTCAGAATATTTAAGTGATTGAAAATTGTTATTAAGTTTTGTAAAAATGCAAATTGTAGCTGCAAATTAAAATAGCAGTTAGTTATATTTGATTGGATCTACTTATCCCCTAAAATTGTACATGGTATATCATTTCATGCTTAGAAAGAATTAAAGGATCACTATAGTGTCAGGAAAACAAACCGGTTTTCCTGACACTATATAATCCTTAGGGTCCCCCCACCCTCAGGTCCCCCTCCCGCTGGGTTGAAGGGGTTAACCACCTTCAGCCACTTACTTTTATCCCGTGCCGGGCTCCCTCAGCGCTGGTGACCTCTCCTCCCCCTCCGACGCCAGCTCCCGAGTGGAGCCGAATGCGCATGCGCGGCTAGAGCCGCGCACATTAAAAACACCCATAGGAAAGCATTTCTCAATGCTTTCCTCTGGACGTTCTGCATGCTCAATGCGATTTTCGCATTGAGCATCAGGGAAGCGCCTCTAGCGGCTGTCAGGAAGACAGCCACTAGAGCAGGGGTTCTCAACCCAGTCCTCAAGGATCCCCTACCAGTCCAGGATTTAGGGATTACCTGGGTGTGTCTAAGGTGTTTAGAAAAAGAAAAACACCTTAGAATCCCTAAATCCTGGACTGGTAGGGGGTCTTTGAGGACTGGGTTGAGAACCCCTGTACTAGAGGCTGGATTAACCCTGCAATGTAAACATAGCAGTTTCCCTGAAACTGCTATGTTTACATCTGAAGGGTTAAAACCTGGGGCACCTGGCACCCAGACCACTTAATTGTGCTGAAGTGGTCTGGGTGACTATAGTGGTCCTTTAAGCTGTGTCTCTGGCAATAATAATGCACCACCATAGCCATTTTATATCACTGATATATTTGAAATACCAAGGGACACTTGATTTAGTTTTGAATGTGTTGCATTAAGTGTTACGTTGAGGGGACCTGATGTAATCAACAGCTGCAAAGTTTTGGAAACAACTTCCAAACATGGGTCTTCCTGCATGTTGTTTGACCTCAGGAACTCATTGCTTAAAAATACCTCCTACAATTTTTAAGCCCTGTTCAACTGAATATGCAGAGGAGTTGTTGTAATGAGACTATTTTCCCCAGCTCATAATCATCACTGACAGGGATTAACCACATGTGAATACAAAATCGAAATGAACAGCACGATAGTCAAAACAATATATGCCCAAAAGACGTAAACTAAAACACGTAAACTAGGCTCAACATGCAAGAATGAAACAAACTAAGACAGTGTACTATGCTGACACCATGTGCCATATCTGTATAAGCAAGAAATCGTATTTCCTTTGAAAACCAAAACAAGTGTTTTGGAGTATTGTTACATAAAATTAGTTCATGTCTGACTTTAGAAAGAATATTATATGAATGACATATACATGCAAGGCTTCAAATGTAAGTAGTAACACACCTGGTAGGCCTTATGCTGACACACTGTGTTATTGTAGTGAATGACAATATTGTAAATATTCAACTGCTGTGTTTGCTATATAAAATGTAAGTCGACAGCAAAGGGTTATTATAAATAGTGTAACACTTTTGATCGCTTTATTTAGTAAAGGAAATGCCTTTTAAATGTTATTTTTTAAACTGTTTAAAAAATGGTTGTAAATGACTTTGATGTATTTATTAAAGGAACACTCCAGGCACAATAGCCACAACAGCTCACTCTAGTGATGATGGTGTCAGGAATGCCCTGACACTCTCCCAACACACCCTATTGAACCATCGGGGCTCAAAAGGCACCGCTATCCACCTCAATGCTGGAGAGTGGGATGTTCCTAAGAAGGACCTTCCATTAGCTCTCCTGACCTAAGCTCTGCATTGCAGAGCTTTTCTTATTGGCGGAAAACATCAGCTGATCACTGTCAGTCAATGAGCTAAGTTTTGCACTACCAAATTTAGCTCAGGAGTGCTAATAGAAGTTTGTAATTAGGAACTTCTGATTCTCTGTTGGAAGTACTGGAGGCAGAGAGCATTATTCTGCGGAACCCCATGTAAGAAGCCTAACCTTTCTAAAACAGTATGACTACTTACAAGCTGTAATGGTTATGGTACTTGAAGTGTTCCTTTAAAAAAGCATAGAAAAACATACATAACTGCGCAGGTCTACAAATCTCCCATTTTATGCTAAGAGATAATACTATTAACTACATGCACAACAGCCAAAATAGAGCTATAGTAAGAGGAGAGACTCCCTAATAAAAAAGGGAAGACAATCCTCCACTAGAACTACCCCCAAGTAGACAATATATATGTGTGAAAAAAATCACATATTAAAATACATGTATGGAAAATAACAATAACCTTTATTAAACACCACTTAAATATTATCCAAACCACAAAAAATAAATAAAAATGCAGACTAATCTCGACTAGAAAAGGCTGCTGAGCACATCAAAACCAAATTGAGTATAACAGATACAGATAAGATTGTTACATAACACAGTAAGTCTAAACAATGTAACAACCTCTGCCAAAAGACTCAAACGGCAACAGCAGCTTGTAAAGCAAGCCGAAATAGTACTCAGCTGTAACCCTAAATATATCTAGGCAGGAGGCACTGTATAGTACACTTTCTACATGAAAAAATAATAATAAAAGAACCCTTACTTACTAAAACACAAAAAATAGATGACAGATCTATTGGTGATATCAAGAAATCGAAAGGATAGTAAGATGGGTAGTAAAGAAAACTGATATAAAAAGTGAACGACAAACAGGAGGTAAATCCTCCACTATAGATCTCCAAAATAAGAGTGTATATGCCCCAATAATGCCAGTTGACCAGCCGGTCATATGTAAATATGGGTACAGCTAACGTACATACAAGTGTGTGTTAATAAAGTGCACAAATACATGCACAACAGAGCCCATGTGCATAGATAGAGGGTAACTGTGTATGGGTATAAACCTTCACCATTGATAAACCACCCCACCTCTTATTTCCCAAATGAACCACAAACATACTTGCTTTGGATTAAAATAGACCACAGCTTTATTAAAATATAACTATATAAATCATTAAACTTCAACTTTATAACATAAAACACTATATACATAATTGCTCGATAAATAGATACGTCACTGAGTACCACCTTACCAACCAAACATAACTTAGGGCAGCTGCTCCTCCCCCTCGTTCCAACCAGCTCAAAGACTTTTCTTGGGCCTTCCATTTCGTAATGCTAACCACTAGCCGCTTATTGGCTCAGTGGACACATCCCTTATCCATAACTGTACCCGAGGTTAGGGGAGGGACAGCCTTACCCATCCACTTTCCATGGACCGCTGGTCCAACCTCCAGTTGACAAGGGCCATATACCGCCACATGCCCGCTGGGCATCCACAAGCCTGCTGGGCATCCACAATGCCCGCTGGGCTCCCACCACGCCCGCTGGGCATCCACATGCCTGCTGGCTAACCAAGCTGTGACAGACAAAACACACAGACAAAAAAACATGAAATAAATAAGGGAAGGGAGGGCAGGATAAAGTTACCAACTGATTATTAAGAAGGCTGCAATTCTGTAAGATGGCAACCTATTTATACTAGCCCACCAATCTACCCCTTACTACTCCACTCACATCCCAAAACCAATTTAGCACATTCCTCTGTATACACTCCCGTCACACTCACATGCTCCTGTTCTGCCTAGACCTTGCCTGGCTCCTCAGGGTCATGAATGTTAGTAAGCACCCTGCTAAGCCCTGAGCTTTCCTGAGTAAAGTGCATGTCATGAAGTTAATATTTTGGTTGTTATTTAATCCAGTACATAATCTAATACAAATTATTCAAAATAAAATCACTATACATTATGTAAGGAAAATTAGATGGTAGGGGCAATGGTAAATATAAAAAATAATGGAAAAATGCTCCATAAAATTGAATATTTTCTTTCGATAATTAATTCTTTCATATAGCACTTATTACATTAACTTTAAAAGAACTAACACAGAAAATAGAAAAAGTGATTGAAAACAAATTGCTTGCCTTTGCACACACTCCAGTCTTGCTTTTCTATTTCACTCTGCTATTTAACATTCATAACTGGATAATTAAGCTATGAATTTATTAAAACAGTTCACAGTAAATGTTTCTATATAGCTTCTCCTTTAGTTACGCTATTACTAGCATATTTTATTCCCATTTTTGTCTCAGAAATGTTAAAATGAGGGCTCTGTGTTTTAAGAATTTCCATGTGGTTGACTCAGTCTCTCCTTGGGCCTCAAAACCAAGTAACCCTTCATCTGCCAGCAGTTTTCTCATTTACACCAAATGAATGTAGCACTGTTTTGGTTTAATTTCCATAAGCACACTGGAAGCATGGGAGTAAATCCCAACTTACTTAAGCAATTTCTAATGCAATAAAAGTGTTCCACACTCCAGTCTCCTGGGAATTGGCCACTCATCAAAGAGTATTTAAAAGCTGATATTTACATATTCTATGAAACTAATGTTTAACAGTCCCTGAACATGTTAGTTGAAAATATTCCATGTGCAATGTTTTTACGAAAATGAATTTGATCAATGTGATGATAGCAGGATCCACAAAATATGCAACATTTAAAAAATATTGTCTCTAGCCCAGGACTGCATAAAGATTTAAACTGAAAAAAATTACACTAAGTAAAAGAGCCAATTTTAAAGAACAACAGTGCAGTGTAGTGGTTATGATGCCAGGAGTGCCCTGGCCTGCTCCCAATGCAAGTAGTCAAATTGTTTGGTAACTAACAGGGGTCTGCTGGGCACCAGCCACCTCCATCAGTCCATCTCATAGCGATCAGCTAATGCTTTCAGCCAATGAACTGGCATTGTACTGCATGGCTCAGCAGGCATGGTTTAGCCCAGCAGAGTTAACAGAAACACAACACATGAACTACTATGTTTACATAGCGGACTTGCAGTGGACAGGAACCATGTAATTGATATGGTGCTTGGAGTATTTAAGAAAGAAAAACAACATGATAAGATCTTGAATATACTAGCATTTGTTTTTAAATAATTGTACATCCACTTAATAATTTTACAAGCTAGCTAACCCTTTTACTGGCAAATTCATGTGTAAATGGTTTTACTTTCATTTACTTTGCAAAATGAAAATTAGTCTATAAAGCCTATTTATACTCTGAAAGATTACCAGCCTGTAACAATCTTTTCTGCTAGGAGGCACGACCATGACCATGACAGGTACCCTTTTATGTCTGCAACTGCGCAGAAAATGTTAGTTATCCTCTCCTGCCAAACAGTGAATGAAGTCTCAATGGGTTATAACAGCAGTTCCCAAACTGTGTGCCGCAGCGCCCTGGGACACCGCGACATGCACACAGGATTGCCGCTGAATGTTTCCCCGGTGCTATGATTATAGCACCGGGGAAACATTACTGCTCAACAGGGATCCGGTCGAGTACCATGGTCTTTTAAGACCGCGACAGGGCCCCTGTAATGTCGGACGGCTGGGAGGACAAATGTTACATACAAACACACCCCTGCATTCAAACTCAATAAAATATATACAAACACACCCCTTCACTCAAACACAAATACGTCACACAAATGTACATCCACATTTAAAAGTGAACATTACATTTAACCCCTTAAGGACACATGACATGTGTGACATGTCATGATTCCCTTTTATTCCAGAAGTTTGGTCCTTATGGGATTAAACACACCCCTGCAATCAAACGCAAACCATTACATACAAACACACTCCTGTATTAAAACAAAATAAATGTATACAAGCACCACTTTAAACACCAAGCCTGATTTTTTTGGGTGCTAAACTGCTAAATAGTACATTTGGGGCATGCTTTTCATATCTGAGAGTCAAATAGAAGCGTCAAATACTGCGGTTACAGCGCAATTGTAAACATTCTAATTGTTTAGGTACTAAACTGCTAAATAGTACATTTGTGGCCTGCACTTCATATATGAGAGTCAAATAGAAGCGTCAAATAGTGCGCTTACAGCGCAGTTGTAAACATTCTAATTGTTTTGGTGCTAAACTGCTAAATAGTACATTTGCGGCCTGCACTTAAAATCTGAGAGTCAAATAGAAGCGTCTTATAGTGCGCTTACAGCGCAGTTGTAAACATTCTAATTGTTTTGGTGCTAAATGCTAAATAGTAAATTTTGGGCGTGCTCTTCATATCTGAGAGTAAAATAGAAGCGTCAAATAGAGCGCTTACAGCGCAATTGTAAACATTCTTATTGTGTTGGTGCTAAATTGCTAAATAGTACATTTACGGCCTGCGGTGCATTTCTTGCAGTCCAATAAACAAAAAAAAAATGTTGACTATTGGCGTTTACATTGTCGCCTGACATAAACCATCTGTTAGTTTGGTCGGTGAGCGCAAAGAATGAGGAGAGTGTCAAATAAGTGACGTGGCCCTGGTCATGGTGCTGTTGGTGTTGGTGGAGCTCCTGTTGCAAGGAGAGGACGTGGTCGATCTGTGCCAGCTACACGCACAAGTGAAACACCTTCCTCAGGTGCAAGTAGGCGACAGAACCTTCAGCGTTATTTGGTAGGCCCGAATGCCGCTCTATGAATGGTGAGGCCAGAACAAGTACAGGAAATAGTAGATTGGATGGCTGACAGTGCCTCCAGTTCCTGCACATTGTCTCCCACCAGCCCCCCTGCTGAAAGCTCAGAGTTGGCACCTGCAGCCCATGGCCATCTGTCTTTCACCTCACCCCCTTGAAAATCACGAAAGGAGTCTGAGCCACAAGTCATGCAGCAGTCTCTTATGCTTTTTGATGACTCTGCTGGCGGGCTTTCCATGGGCCATCCACCTAGCCCTGCCCCAGAAGTGGAAGAGATTGAGTGCACTGATGCACAACCACTTATGTGTCAGGATGTGGACTTGCAAGGACCACCGCAGCATGTCTCTGATGATGACGAAACACAGGTGCCAACTACTGTGGCTTTCTGCAGTGTGCAGTGGTTTTAAAAAACCTGATGGCGGTGGCTGTCCCACAGTACGTGGTTCCCAGCCGCCACTACTTTTCCAGGCGAGCCATCCCTTCCCTGCACAACCAATTGGTAGACAAAATCAGGTGTGCACTGCGCAACTCCATCTGTGGCAAGGTCCACATAACCACAGATATGTGGACCAGTAAGCACGGGCAGGGACGCTATATCTCCCTAACTGCACACTGGGCAAATGTAGAGGCGGATAGCAGTTTGGCGCATGTCCTTCTGCCACCGAGGATTGCAGGGCATTTCTCTTTGTCTCCTGTTGCCTACTCCTCCTACTCCGCTTCCTCCTCTTCTACCACCACCTCATCCGGCAGCGTAACACCACCAACTTCAGCACAGCCAGGGGGAAACGGCAGCAGGCTGTTTTAAAACTCATATGTTTGGGGGAAAAAACCCACACCACGCAGGAGCTGTGGATGGGCCTGGAACAACAGACCGATGAGTCTGAGTCTCAAGCCCGGGTTGGTGGTGTGTGCTAATGGGTGAAATCTCATAGCAGCTCTGGGCCTAGCTGGTTTGACGCACATCCCTTGCCTGGCGCATGTGCTGAATTTGGTGGTGCAGAAATTCCTGAAAAACTACCCAGATATGTGAGAGCTGCTGCAGAAAGTGCGGGCCGTCTGTGTGCGCTTTCGGCGTTCTCACCCGGCTGTTGCTCGTCTGTCTGTGCTGCAGCGTAACTTCGGCCTTCCCGCTCACTGCCTCATATGCAATGTGCCCACAAGGTGGAACTCCTATTACCATAAGGTGCTACAGCTATTAAAGAAAATTAATGTAAATAAAGCTCCAGGGCGTGACGGAATTCACCCACGAGTACTTAAGGAGCAAAGTGGGGAAATAAGTGAACCTCTGTATTTAATTTTTCAAGATTCTTTTGTTTCAGGTGTTGTACCGGAGGATTGGAGGAAGGCAGATGTTGTTCCTATATTTGAAAAGGGTTCAAAATCCTTGCCTGGAAATTATAGACCTGTGAGCTTAACTTCTGTAACTGGGAAAATATTTGAACGGCTATTAAGGGATAATATTCAGGAATTCATTGGGAAGAACTTTTTTATTAGCAATAATCAGCATGGTTTTATGAAACATCGGTCATGTCAAACTAACCTAATTGCATTCTACGAAGAAGTAAGTAGAAGTATAGATCAGGGTGTTACAGTGGATGTGATCTACTTGGATTTTGCCAAGGTATTTGATACTGTTCCTCACAATAGGTTAGTCTTCAAACTAAAAGAAATTGGTCTAGATGAATATTCTTGTTCTTGGGTAGAACATTGGCTTAAGGATAGAGTATAACGTGCTGTAATTAATGGTAAATTTTCAGGCTGGACAAAAGTGGTAAGTGGTGTCCCTCAGGGTTCTGCTTTGGGACCACTTCTATTTAACATATTTATAAATGATCTTGAAATAGGCATTGAAAGCCATGTATCAGTGTTTGCAGATGACACAAAACTTTGTAAAGTAATAAAATGTGAGCGGGATATTGCTTTGCTGCAGAGAGATTTGGATAGATTGCGGGACTGGGCACTAAAATGGCAGATGAAATTTAACATAGAGAAATGCAAAGTTATGCACTTCGGGGTTAAGAATGTACAAGCAACTTACACACTAAATGGTAGTGAATTAGGGATAACCACACACGAGAAGGATTTGGGAATTGTTATAGACAACAAATTAGGCAGCAATATGCAATGTCAATCTGCAGTTGCTAAGGCCAGTAAGATTTTGTCATGTATAAATAGGGGCATAAATTCTCGGGATGAAAATATAATGCTGCCTCTTTATAAATTGCTGGTAAGACCACAACTTGAATATGCTGTGCAATTTTGGGTGCCTGTTCTAAAGAAGGATATCATGGCACTGGAGAGGGTCCAGAAAAGGAATGGAGCATTTTAGTTATGAAGAAAGGTTAAAAAAATTAAATCTGTTTAGTTTGGAAAAATGGCGCCTGAGAGGGGATATGATAACTTTATACAAATATATTCAGGGCCAGTACAAACCTTTATCTAGAAATCTATTCATAAACAGGGCTATACATAGGACACGAGGTCACGCATTTAGGCTGGAAGAAAGGAGATTTCATCTAAGGCAAAGAAAAGTTTTTTTTACAGTAAGAACAATAAGGATATGGAATTCTCTGCCTGAAGAGGTGGTTTTGTCAGAGTCCATACAGATGTTTAAACTGAAATTGGATAAATACTTACAAAAACATAACATACAGGTATATAATTTCTAATTAGTGGGGTAAAAGCTGCTTGATCCAAGGAGACATCTGACTGCTATTTTGGGGTCAAGAAGGAATTTTTTCCTAGTTTGTGGAAAAATTGGAAGTGCTTCAGACCAGGTTTTTTGCCTTCTTTTGGATCAACAGAAACAACATTTGTGAGGAAGGCTGAACTTGATGGACGCAAGTCTCTTTTCAGCTATTTAACTATGCAACTATGTAACTATGTAACATGCTGGAGAGACTGTGCGAGCAGCAGTGGAGTTTCAGATGCAGCATGCACGGGTCAGTCGCTCTGCGGAACAGCACCACTTCACCTCCTATGAGTGGGCCTCCATGCGAGACCTATGTGCCATTTTGCACTGTTTCAAGTACTCCACCAACATCGCCAGTGCCGATGACACAATTTTCAGCCTTACTATCACGCTTCTATGTCTCCTTGAAAAAATGCTGCGAGCGATGATGGAAGAGGATGTGGCACAGGAGGAAGAGGAGGAGGAAGAGGGGTCATTTCCATGGTTATCAGGCCAGTCATTCACAAGTGGCTTGGAGTGGGTTCCTGCACCAGCATAGGCCAGGTACACAATTGTCCAGCCAGGGCACAGTTCTGGAGGATGAGGAGGAACCGTGTTCTCAGCAGGGTTGCACCCAACGCAGCTCGTGGGCATCACTGGAGGGGATACAGAGGACACAGACAATACACCTCCCACAGAGGACAGCTTGTCCTTGCCTCTGGGCAGCCTGGCACACATGAGCGACTACATGCTGCAGTTCCTGCGCAACGACTGCCCAGTTGCCCACATTCTAACTTGTGCTGATTACTGGGTGGCCACCCTGCTGGATCTCCGTTACAAGGACAACATGCCGTCCTTAATTCCCTCACTGGAGCATGATCGAAAGATGCGCGACTGCAAGCGCACGCTGGTAGATGCGCTGCTGAGGGCATTCCCAACTGACACCAGGGGCTCAGTGGAAGCACAAGGCAAGGCAGAGGAGTAGGGAGAGGTTGCCAATGCAGCTCGAGCACCGCCAGCACCTCACAAGGCAGGGTTAGCATGGTCGAAATGTGGAAAAGCTTTGTCAGCACGCCACAACAACCAGCACCACCAGCTGATATGGAACGTCTTAGCAGGAGGCAGCATTTCAGCAACATGGAGGAACAGTACGTGTGCACATGCCTACAAATACTGCCTGATGGGTCTGCCCCATTCAACTTCTGGGTCTCCAAATTTCGCACATGGCCTGAGCTTGACCTTTATGCCTTGGAGGTGCTGGCCTGGCCTGCAGCCAGTGTATTGTCTGAACGTGTGTTTAGCATGGCAGGGGGCGTTATCACAGACAAGCGCAGCCGCCTGTCCACAGCCAACATGGACAAGCTCACGTTTATTAACTTGTCTGTACCTTGTGCAGAATAGACATTTATACCAACCTCACCCAGCCATTGTTATATTCAAGTGCACTTATTCTTTGTTTTCTTTTTTTATATGTCCCAATATTTTGGGGGCTACCCCAATAAAAAATAAATACATTTAATAAATAAATAAATAAAAAGTGTTGGCTACCTCCTCCACCGCCGTTTTCTACCTACACTGCCACGGTCATCGCCTCCTCAACCTATGGGTCACTTAGTATAAACTATGTACACATTAGCAGGGGCTTGTGAAGGCCTTTTCTCCATGCATCAGGAGTTGAGCTCAGTTTGAACAATGAAAGAGAATACCCTGCACTCCAGCCCTCTGATAAATGGATAATTCTGGTGATCCTCCTGACAGCCATGCCTTAGATTTTGATTTATGTTCTTCCAAAGCTAAAATCAAAGATTCCATCTAGTGCTATTTTATGGCTCAGCTGTATTTTAAATTTTTATGTTATTTTAAGTGATTTCCCTATCCACATTTGTTTGCAGGGCACTTGTCCTACTCGTACCCCCATTTTACTTCCTTTTGCAGCCCTCCAGCCCTTTCCAGGACTTTTTAGAGGCATTTTTGTGCCCAAAAGTTCGGGTCCCCATAGACTTCAATGGGGTTCGGGTTCAGGGTCAAGTTCGGCCGAAACCCACCGGACCCGAACATACAGGTGTCCGCTCAACTCTAAATAGTACCTTTTACATGCCTTTACTTAAGAAATATACAATTTGACTGCATTGTATGTGGGCATAATACTCAAATGCAGATATTTGTTTTACATTCTGTTGTCATTTTCAGTAAGTTATACTGCTAGTAATGCCTTTAGGCTCATTACAAATACCTATAAACAGAGCATTTGACCTTTTTTATTTATCAATTTTGTCACACCTACAGTGTTTGAGAAAAAAAAAAAATATTAATTGATGTCCTGCTGGAACTGGTGTTTGATACAGTATGTCTGATTGTTATATATACCCTTCCATCTCATTCCAGGTTCCATCTGGTCTCACAAAGCTTAGCACTGACCTTTTCTTGTATCAGAAGCATTTTGATTGGCTGAAGAAGGCAGCTCATGCTATTCGATCTATGGACCATGAATTTACCAGTATTCATAACCGCATTGACAAACTGGTGAAAAAGATTGACTTGTTGGTAAGGACGTATTTCAAATGTAATGTTTTCATGTTGGTACAAATAATATATAGCTGCAGCTGTTGGTACAAATTATATGTAGTTACAACTAGAATTAAAAATAAATGCACACTGCTTCAGACAAAGAGAAAATCTGACACAGTGGGCGGTGCAGGTGCTCACTCCTAAATACACATAGATTGTCACTAAGAGGCACTCACACAGACAAACAAAGGTGTTAAGTCATGACAATATGTGCTTAATAGTTACATGCACAGGTGATAAATCATAGATAAACACACAGGTGTCCTCTCATAGACACACATACACTCACTCGTTGTCACACACCCAGGTGTTTTATCTTGTTTATATTGTTATATAAGGAGATCAAGCACATGTCTTCATAACTGTAAACTTTATTAAGAATGGCCACCCACACTCCCACAATGCAAGAGCCACTTTCTGACTGTACCATTGTGCACATAACAACAGGTTAGATATGGTTCATACCAACTGATAATATCAATATCACACATTTCCCTTTTTCTTTTTAAACAGAAAGCTTACAGTACAAATGTATTTTAAACTGTAGTATATGTGAGATAACTTCAGTATCTTTTAACATTGTTCAATGAGACCATTAGGTTTTTTGATATATCAACCTGACATTGTTTGCTTTGCATCACTAGCAGGCAAGTCATTCAAGCTTTGTAAAGTTTCTCTGGCATCTTCATTCTCCAGATGCAATGAAGTGTTTGATGTATCTTCACAGATTTCTTTCACTGTTGAATTGTTGTGATCTGATGGAATAGCCATCAAATATCTACGATTCCTACAAAAGCATTGTCCATCAGTGGTTTCAACTACATATGATCTTGAGAATATTGCTGGATAACTGTCCCTTTAGTATTCCAGTGGTTTGAACCTTGTACTCGTACAGGAGTTTGTACCTGAAGATTCTCCAATGGCTTTGCAGCTCGGTCATAGTATTCATTTCTTTTTTCTCTGAGTTTCAATTTGGTTTCAATTACATGTTTTTGTTGGAACCTTTTCCATGGTTCAAAACTGGTACTCATGTGACCCACTACTTGTCAAACAATAATTCTGCCGGTGACTTCCCACATTTTAAAGGGGTAGCTCTATTGCTAAGAAGAGCCAGACATGGATCCTTGTGTGCTTTTGTTGCTTAACAAAGTATGTTTTTCACTATCTTCACTCCAGCTTCTGCTAATCCATTTGCTTGTGGATATCCAGGGATGGATGTTCAATGTTCAAATTCATAGGTACTGACAAAAACCCTAAACTCTCAACAATTAACTTGAGGACCATTGTCTGATATTATTACTCTTAGAATGCCATGTCTCGCCAAAATTGCTTTAACTCTTTTGATCACTGTACTTGCTGACTCATCTTCCAATAAAGCTATCTATGGGTAATTAGAGAAGTAGTCCATGACTAAGATATGTACATCCGTTGAAGGATGCTCCTAGTGCTTCCTGAGGGCTCCAAGCACTCCAGCCGACACCATAACCACTGTAGACTTCTCCAGAGAGCAAGACAGGAACAAGCGCTTACAAGAGCTTAGTATTGATATAGCAAGGGAGTATGACTAGCATAGCAATCCCTTGTAGCAGATTCCCCCAGTAACGAGACGACACTTCGTTTTGAGGGTCAAGCAGAACTGACTGTACTGGCACATATAGCCTCTTTTATTCACAATCCACAAACATAGTACTGCCCATAGGGTTTTGAAATACAACCAATCAATCCGTACAATACACACAGACACTCCCACACAAAATCCTCCCCTCTGCCTGTGATATGATTACTGAACACCATGGAAGCAGAAAAATACAGTTTTTACAAAATATTAAAAACTTCCAAAATATACATGCTATTCACATAAAACATACATTTTCAGAATCCGCATGCTTGAAATATACACATACTCAAAAATCAGGGCAATTGGTTCAGGGTTAAAAAGTTTGTCCTATTTGACAAAATGAAGGATGGTTTTTCTGCCAAAAACCAGTTCCACAGAGTCTTCTATCCTGGAGATAATTGGGAAGTAATCCAATTATCTCCAAGGACAGAGGCAAAACTCCATTAGCCACATGGTAGCAAAATACAATAAAATACATAAAAATGCATAAACCAGGTACATTCAACATATCCCCAGATAGCTTAGATCTGAGCTCAAATTATTTCTGAATGGCGCTCAGATCACATACCTACAGTTCAGTTGCCATGGAGCCAAAGTCTTTCACATAGTCTTTCATTATACGAATGGGCTCCATGGCATAGCTATCTGGGGTAACACTGCTCACATAGGGAAAGTACCGAACGACCCGGCTTTCAGGTCTTTGAAGGGGAAAATCCAGCATTTCAACATGGGGCCAGTCACAGGGCAGGAGGCTGGCAATCAGTCTTCTCCAATGCCCAGTGGCGAGGCTGGTTCCGCCACAAGATATAATGCTGATTTTTTTAAAACAAGTAAGTCCATTCCTATTTTTTTTCCCAGGGTGCCAAAGGAAAGTCTGTATCCAGTACATGCTCTTTAGGTAACTGAGGTATGAATTTTTGGCAAGTCCGGCATTGAGTGATCATTGTCTCAATGTTTTCATTCATGTTGGGCCAGTACAAAATGTCTCTAGCTCTTCTTTTGGTCTTTTCTATACCTGAAAGACCATCATGTAGTCTTTTCAGTATTTGACTTTGCAAACTCACTGGTACAATAATCTTCTGTCCTTTCAAAAGCACCCCTTTTATTAAAGAAAGTTCAGAAATGTATGGTTTATGCAGTGTTGGTATTAGTGTCTTAGATTTGCCACTAGAAAATGCTTTCTTCACTTGACTTATAAGAGCATCCTTTTCTGTAGCCTGTACAATTGCTGTCCACATTGCATGACTAAACTAAATCAAAGTTGAGAATACTCTTCCATACAAATAAACATTACATTTTTCACATCCATAAACTAGTCCCAGTTTTGCTTTTTCAATTTGTGCACATGATTTTTCTGTATCCGTCGATGCCCTTGATGCATAAGCCACAGGCATCCATCCCGAGACTTGATTTTGAAATAGAACTGCGCCCAATCCATTTTGTGAAGCATCAGTTGACAACTTTGTTTTTGCTTTTGGATCAACGAATTGCAGAGTTGGTGCAGTAGTAAGCATTTCCTTCAATAACTTACATTCTTTCTGACAATTCACTGACCATTCCCAGGTGTAGATTTTTCTGAGTAGTTGGCGCATTAGTGCAGTTTTGTCTGGTAAGTTAGGTATGATCTTGCCAAGGTATATCACCATTCCCAGTAAGCGTTGTATATCCTGCTTATTTTCTGGCTGTGGCATTTCAGTAATTGCCTTAATCTTTTATTATGTCTGATAAAACACCATCTCCAGTGAGTTGTTCTCCCAAAATATTGAATTGAAGTTTTTCTGAATTGACACTTTGTCTTATTGAACTTCAAATTATTTTTCTTAGCAACGTCTAAGACCATCTTCAGTCTTTCATCATGTTCTTGCTTGGTTTTACCCTAGATCAGAATATCATCAATAAATACAGTTGTGTCTGGTATTCGTTCTAGAAGTTGCTGCATTGTACTATGAAACACTTCCGGTGCCGAACACAAACCAAAGGGCAGTTGTTTGTAACAGTACCTCCCATAAGGAGTATTGAAAGTGCAGAGTTTCATGCTTTCCTCCTCCAGTGGAATCTGGCAAAATCCTGGTGATGCATCCAGTTTGCTGAATACTGTTGCTCCACCTAACTCCCCAAGCAATTCTGGTTTTGTTGGTAAGTGGAAGTGTTTCTCTTGAGATGCTTTTATTCAGTTCTTTGGGATCAGTACAGATTCTGAGACCCCCATCCGTTTTTTTCCACCAACACCATTGAATGAACCCATTCAGTAGGCGTCTTGATTTTCTTTACAATATCGTTTTCTTCCATCCTGGCAAGTTCCTATTTAAGACGATCCCACAGAGCAACAGTAACATTTTGCATGGCATGCACTACTGGATGAAAACGTTCTTTTAGTTGTATTTTTTGTTGCATTGGAAGACATCCGATTCCTTCACAAACTTCAGCATAGTCTGTTTTTAAAGCTTCTATGTCCTCTTCTTTATTCGTTCCATCAATGGCATTTACCCTTTGAATCAGGCCTAAAGTTTCACACATATGAAGACCCAGTAAAGCTGGTTTGTTTCCTGAAACTACCAGAATATTTTATGCGTTTGATTTCAATATTCCAGGAACACACTGCACTTGCCAAGCACTGGGATAACCTCCCCATTATATGTCTTTAGTTTGACTGAGCTTTTCAGAAGTTCTGGTTTGTTCTTCAGTTTCAAGTCAGTGACATACTCCTCAATAATCCCTATTTCATTCTGCATTTTACATCTGAAAATATACCTTTCATAGGCTTCATTGCGTCTAGATACACAGTATTGTTCAAATTTGTCTAGAACAACCCGATAATCATCCCTTTTTTCATCTGTAAATATGAAGGTGTTGTACATATCTATTGCTACCGATCCTGCTACAGTCTGAAAAAGTGCAATCTTTTGTTCATTATCTTGCTCCTTAGTTCCTATAACTCTAACATATAGCTGGAATCTTTGCTTAAACCTCAGCCATTACCAGTCATTTTTAATTCTGGTGGAGGATTTAACTTTTCCATCTCTATGTTACTGACTGTTGATTTATTTTGCTATGAATTATGCAGTATAAATGGATAAGACTGTAGTGCTCCTCTGTTTGGAATCACAGGCAATTTTACATGTAATAATGCACTTACTCAGTTCATGGGAAGCTGTTGTAGTCACTGCGTGAGCTTTGGCCCATCTCATTTTATTTGCTGCAAAGATGATCTATGGATTCCTTAGACTCCTTGCATGTCAGTTCAGATGGAAGCAGGGGACTCCTTATTCTGGCACATGTCTTCATAACTGTAAACTTTTTTAAGAATGGCCACCCACACTCCCACAATGCAAGAGCCACTTTCTGACTGTACCATTGTGCTAATAACAACAGGTTAGATATGGTTCATACCAACTGATAATCTCAATATCACACCAGGTGCTCAGTTGTATTATACATACACAAGTGATCACTCATAGGCACATAATCAGATACTTACATAGGTGGTCACTCAAAGCCACACCCACAAGCACTTACATAGGTGCTGATTGTCATACACAGGAAATCATAACATTCAGAACAACAGGCGGATGAGTATTAGGGACTTTAACTTGTGAATTGGTGAATGGTGTCGGGAGCAAAGATTTGGCTTAATTTCTCATGGTAGCTCTGTTTGGAATGGAAATAAACTGTACAAAAAAGATGGTTTGCATCTTTCTCAAAGGGGAACACATTTTCCAGTGAGCAGTTCAGAGGTTTTGCTAGGATGTATTTAAACTAGGTGGAGTGGGGTGATGATAAATCATCAATCCAATTGCCCCCAAAAACAAGGACAGAAGGTGCCTGTAGCAAGTATGTTAAAAAATGATAAGCTTAGAGTCATGTCTACAAATGCTCGTAGTTTACGCAATAAGATCCATGAACTTGTGGCAATAATGGCAACTGATGTAGATTTAGTCACTGTTACTGAGACATGGTATAATGAGAAAAATTACTGGGATAATACGAGGGTACTCTTTATACAGAAAAAGACAGGGAAGGCAAGAAAGGGGGAGCGGTGGCCCTGTATGTGAAGGATAGCATAGTGTCTAGCATAATAAAAGTTAGTGAGGCGAACATAGAGTTCGCTTGGGTTACGTTAGAATTTGGTAATCTCACAGTAACTCGTGTAGGCGTGATTTATAGACCCCCAGGACAAACAGAAGAGTTAGACAGTTTACTAGTTGAGGAAATAGCTAAAATGACAATGAAGGGGGAAGTTATCATCACGGGTGACTTTAATCTTCCTGATGCGAACTGGAAAACCAAAATAGCTGCTTGTGCCAGCAGCACTTATGCTAAACTCCCTATTGGGATTGTCTCTAAAACAAGTCATTGAAGAGGCAACTCATAAAGAGGCCATACTAGATTTAATGTTAACAAATAGAGATTTGTTAGCAGATATTACTGTAGGTGAAAGTTTAAGATCCAGTGATCATCAGTCAGTGTGCTTTAATATAAGAACAGTGACTGAGTCACACCACACAAAAACAAAAGTTCTAGACTTTAGAAAAACAGACTTTTCTAAAATTAGAATATGTGTAAAGTAGTCATTATCAGACTGGAGCAATTTAAATGGAGTCCAATAGAAATGAGATTATTTAAAAGTTGCACTGTTGAAAGCAACAGAAAATTGCATTAGGCTTGTCAGTAAAAGCAAAAAATGTAAGAAACTACTGTGGTACTCCGCAGAAGTGGCCAAAATAGTAAAAAACAAAAACTTAGCTGTGGCGAAAGTGACCTCGCCACTGGATTTTGGAGAGGCCTGTTTCCTTGCCTCCTACCCTGTGACTATTGGCCCTGCAATATACCTTGCCCAATACACTTTAAAAGGCTACATTCAAATAATGTAAGTACTTTTCTACTCCATAAAGAGAGACCGACCGCTGGCCCTAATTCCCTGGAACTGTTTTGGACATGAAGCCATGCTTGCGGCTGGTCAAAAAGAGACTTCCATTAAACTTTTGAACCCCTGCTGGGGGATTTTTGGATATGTTGTTCACCCAGATCAGGGCTCTCCGGGGATGTTTACACTGCAGGGTTAATCCAGCCTCTAGTGGCTGTCTCGCTGACAGCCACTAGAGGCCGCTTCCGTAATTTTAAGTGAGAAAATCACACTGAAATGACGTTGGACGTCCTCACAGAGTCCAGCGTCATTTCAGATCCCCATAGGAAAGCACTGAGTAATGTTTTTCTATGGGCAGGTTTGAATGCGTGCGCGGCTCTGGCTGCGTGCATTTGGCTCCACACGGGAGCTAACGTCGGCATGGGGAGAAGAGGTCACCAGCACCAAGGGAGCCTGGTGCTGGATTAAGGTAATTGGCTGAAGGGGTTTTAACCACTTCAGCCCAGCGGGAAGGGAGCCCTGAGGGAGGGGGGACCTATTAACCCTATAGTGCCAGGAAAACGGGTTTGTTTTCCTGGCGCTATAGTGTTCCTTTCAATTAGAGGGGCAAATGTTTAAAAATAATATCAGGAAGTATTACTTTACTGAGAGGGTAGTGGATGCATGGAAAAGCCTTCCAGTTGAATTGGTAGAGCTTAACATAGTGAAGGAGTTTAAGCATGTGTGGTATAGGCTTAAGGCTATCCTAGATATAAGATAAGGCCAGGGACTAATGAAAGTATTTAGAAAATTGGGCAGACTAGATGGGTCATCACATTCTATGTTTCTATCACTGACACACACAGACACAGACATAGTGAATAGTGTGTAGCCCACGGTCATCCACAGCAAATAAATGTATTAATGAATATACATATATTTTGAAATACACTGATTGTGTTACAACCTCCTTCATGAATAAGATGCCTTGGCTTTGGGCACTGACTACTTCTTTATTAGGTCACCTTTGCTGAATAACTAGCACCTAAACACTATAAAATGATATGGGGATATATGCGCTGCCATGGTGCTTGTTTAGGACAAGAAAATAATTGTTAGTAGATGAACATTTTGTGTTGGAATAGGAATACAGCCAGAAACCATTTTCATCTAAAGAGTTTCATCGATAACAAATGGACTTAAAGGACCACTATAGTGCCAGGAAAACATACTTGTTTTCCTGGCACTATAGTGCCCTGAGGGTGCCCCCACCCTCAGGGTCTCACTCCCGCCGGGCTCTGGAGGGAGGAAGGGGTTAAACTTACCTCTTTCTCCAGCGCCGGGCGGGGAGCTCTCCTCCCTCTTCTCCTCCTCTTCGGCTGAATGCGCATGCGCGGCAGGATCCGCGCGCGCATTCAGCCAGTCCATAGGAAAGCATTCACAATGCTTTCCTATGGATGCTGGCATCTTCTCACTGTGATTTTCACAGTGAGAAACGCGGAAGCCCTCTAGCGGCTGTCAATGAGACAGCCACTAGAGGCTGGATTAACCCATTTATAAACATAGCAGTTTCTCTGAAACTGCTATGTTTATAGAAAAGAGGGTTAACCCTAGATGGACCAGGCACCCAGACCACCTCATTAAGCTGAAGTGGTCTAGGTGCCTATAGTGGTCCTTTAATCATAAATGTATGATTAAATCTATTTGTCAAGGACCGGTAAATTAAAAGGACAGGGTTTTTTTACACTGTATTCTGAGATGATGGTTTTATATTTTGCCAAATAAAGTCTACCATTTGAAGGTTACTCTTTCAGTCTCTGCTTCCTTTCTCCTTTCACCAAAACAACTTTATCCTAATGAAGCAGTTTTTTGTATAAATCATGCCCCTGCAGTCTCACGGCTCAATTCTTAGCCCTTTAGGAGCTAAATCACTTTGTTTATGCAGCCCTAGGCACACCTCCCTGCATGTGACTTTCCTAAACACTTCCTATAATTATCTAATGTTTACATTTATTGCAAATTCTGATGAATTTAGAATTTCTTATCTCCTGCTCTGTTAATTAAAGTTCAGTTTACAGAGCAGGAGATAAACACTTTTAGGTAAATTACATCTGATTGAAAATTAAACCATTTTGTTTTCATGCAAGCTACATCAGTCACAGCCAGGGGAGGTAAAGGCATTTAACTCCTAAAAGGCAGTGAATTAGGTAGTGAAACTTTAGAGGCATAATATATACACCAAAACTGCTTCATTAAGCTAAAGTCGTTTTGGTGACTATGGTGTCACCTTAAGATTGGGATAGACGTATAGTGACATTCTTTTCAGATAGAGATGTAAAAGCTATAACTCAAAACAAGTTGCATTGTGCCAGAATGTTCCCTTAAGTCGTCTGCTGCATTTTCTTTGTACATGCTACTCTATAATTTAAGTTACACATTTTTCTTTCCCACAGATGATAAAACTCAACATTGTACGTGTCAGTGATCCACCTTTGCCTCAGTTGCCTAACTCAACAACACAGTGGGGCGTAGTGCAAGCTGGCCATGCCATATTCCACCACTTTCACCTGTTTTTGGACTATGCTACGCGTGTTCTGTTTCTGATGAAAAATAAGTTGTGAAAATAACAGCACTTCTCCATCTTGAACTTCAACCCTGGCAAGAGTGTTGCAATAATAATAACCTTTTCAGCTTGAATTAAAATGGACACATTGTTCAGGCAGAGATTCCAGGAAGCACCTAAATTTTATCCCTAAACTTGATACATGCAGGATAGTTCAGCACATGAAGATACTACGTGACTTATATATATATACTGTAGTGATGTAGCAATTCTATTTATACCACCAGCTATTTATTTATTTATATCCTTTTTATATTTAAAAATAATTGTTGTTTTTTAACTTAACTTTTGAAAAAGAAATACTGATTTTTCTAGTTTTTTTTTTTAAATTAATTTATTTTTCATTGCTGCCCGGTTTTAATAAGAATGTGTGCATTGTTTTGGTAAAGTGTATGGTTTTGATTGTTGTTTATAAACTGTTATGTTAAGTGCTGGAGCGTGTACAAAAAATGCAGATGTTGATCATTGCTTTTAATGTGTCAATTTATTGGCACTTACTATTGTGTGCTAATGTGGAGCATACATGTTAAATTAATAATGATTTTTTGTTTTGAAGATGTCAGTAGGTCTTGTAATTTTTATTAAAATTTTTAATGCATCATTTTATGAAACACTTGTAAAATAGAAAAAGGTCACAGAATAACATGGATGGGTAAAGTGGTCTAGATATTCTAAATTGTATACTTACAAGAATGAATAGTGACTTAAAAAGTAAATATTGATGTTGCTTAGGAAAACTATTTATGCACCGCTTAAAGCAAAACTCATGTCAACTGAAGTTTTTCAGCTTGCTAAGGTGCTTTAAGTTTAAAATGTTGCCCCTCCAAGCTCATTTTAGAAAAAGTGTTTATTTCAAATGTTCATTTATAAAACACCTTAGTCATGCCCTCCTGGCTGTCAATCAGACAGCTTAGACAGCTTAGAAGGTTTCCTGTCTCACTTGCTTTAAACTATAGTTCAAATCAGAATTGAGAAAAGCTTGCACGATCAGCAGGCTAAGAAAACTAACACTCAACTCATTGATTATACACAGCTCATAGAGAAATATATACCTGGCAAACTGATTCTGTAATAAAACATATTCAGAAGTGTACGATTGGCCATTTGAATGCATGTACAAGTTGTCCTTGGTTTAGACATGCCCAGCACAGGTGGGGAAGACTGTGCTTCACAAAAAGAGATAGTTTGCAGTAACTGCAGAAATTAATTCTGCAGCTAATGTAAGCTGTGTATTTTTTTTTTTTTACAATTTACCAAAACATAAGCAATATGTATATCTACTAAATTATTTATTTATTTTCCGGTGGAGTGTTCATTTAATGCTTTTTTCTCTGCTGTTTTACAACTTAAATTTAATAGTGGCAAGTTCCCTGGTATATGCTTTTGATTGTCAGTCCATCCTAATAAAACAAATTACACTATATAGCCAGATTAAATTGCCATGAATATTAAAGCAAAGCAAAATTTACAGTCATATATGTAGTATAAAATAACCAGATGAAACCTTAAAGGTCATTAGTTATAAAACAATGGCTGTGTTACTTGTGATTAACACAGTAAATGATGACCATTTCATTTTAGTGAATACTCTTCCAAGAATATCATGTTTCCTTTAAGTGAGCTAATTTCTCATTGTACTAAGGAGTGCAATCTGGATTTTGTGCTTTCCTAAAAAGAGAGAAAACTTGATGGAACAAATACTTGAGCAAATTCACTATAATCTAAGTAATTATAGTGAATTTGCTCAAGTATTTGTTCCATCAAGTTCTCTCTCTTTTTAGGAAAGCACAAAATCTATAGCTCATAAATAATTCATTACATTTCTTGAAACTTAATGACGCTTAAAATGATACCCAGTCTTAATTCCTGGTTTATAAAAATTTAGTTTTACCTGCTTTGTTGTTTAGTATAGTCACAGCGTATCTATGAGGGTTTTTTTTTCCTCTTTCATTCAAATGAATAGACTGATCTGAATGGGTGTGACCCAAGCAGACAAGCTCTCAGTTCTTCCACTTAGAGATGTGCCTAAATATTATGCCTACTTAACTGACTTTTCTCAGCTAATCTTTCTGACAATGTTACTTTATAAAACATTTGGGGCAGTTTGTGACTGTTCGCATAAAGCAACACCTTTATTTTACATGTGTTCATTGCCTTATCACTAATTGAGAAAATGTTACCATTTTTACCTCTGTGTTTTGTGCCTTTATCTAAAATGATCTAGACTTTCTTAATCATGCTGAGCAATGTATTTCATGCACATGTATCTCTCTACTAAGCAAACTCTGCTATCAGTAGCATTCATTTCTCAGTGGAAAACCAGGCTAGAATCCCAGTTAGACCACCTTAGCAGTAAATGTCCTTGGGCAAGAAATTTAACGATATATATATATATATATATATATATATGTATATATATATATATATATATATATATATATGCTTACCTCAAATCCTCATAGATTGTAAGCTCATTTGAGCAGGGCCTCTTAACCTCTAAATACTTCCTTTTTATAATTATATAAAACTGTGTCATATTTTAGCTCTATATAAATATTAATAATAATAGATGTTCTGGCTTTGTTGTGTGAATGCCCAAACAAACACAGTGACCAACCTTGATTAGTAAAGTGAAAAAGCATTTTGTGTGAATGTGTAAGACAAAGATGTTTTTGTATTTATTTATTTATTTATTTAAGACTGACTAAATGCAATTCATTTACAGATTACTTTTTTAAGTTGTTGAATGTTTTACTCAACCAAAATGACAGTTTTTCAGGAAAATAAAATCAAGAATTCTTTTTGGAGAATGGCGAATCTAAGGCCAAAACAACTAAGCTGGAAGCATAGCTATTTTAGCGATTTGCTTTCTAATTTTGGGTTCAAATATGCAATTCGCTAGGGATTCTCAGCAATTATTAATTTAGAGAAAAACTATTAAAATGTATTCTTAATTGTATACAAATGTCGAAATGCCGCTGTTAGCTTTATGGGTTTTGTTATTGGTATAATACTACTAATCAATATACTTGTAATGTATAAAAGAAAAACAGTTTACATCCAGAAATAATATTTTTGTTGTTATTTATTATGGTACTTATTAATTAAACAAAATGTGAGGTAAAGATACTTAATCACCATTTACCACACTAAAGTGTAGGATGAAGCTTACGTCCAGCTTCCACAACCCAATCCAGAAATGCAATATTATTGCCATTTTGGGGTGAGGGCAGTTGTGAAATATTAATTTTGTTTGGGTAGAGACTGACAACACTACTGGCAGAGGAAGAGTTTACATACTCCTATTGTGAAGTTGATTAAATTTTACTGGATTCCAGAGGAAATCTGTGATTAGTTCATTGATTTTACACTAGGGCATGTGAATTCCACTGCTGGGCAACATTTTCAAGCCCTCAGAGATAATAAATAATTCATAAGTGTCCTGAAAATTTGGCAACATGCAAAATGGCATGCCTAACTGATACTGATCGGACGTTGTAAAATATAAATTACTGTACAATACAATTTTTGAAAGTACTCTACATTAGGTTATATGTAGGAGACACTGCCAGTTTAAGGGACGCTCTAGGCATCATAACCAAGGTAATGTTTGCAGAAAAGCCTTTTCTCCTATTCCAACGCATCACCTGGCCTTAGAAGATATTACAGCATGTGTCCAAAAGGCTGGCATATGCAGACCAAGTTCCCACAATCTCTGACACTCCCCATTACATAGGCTTTTATTTGGGAGTCAGTGATGCTGGTGCTTCTAGCAACTTTCATTAGGTGACAATGGTAGGGCTATTTACTGATGTAATACAAGCTACATATGTATAGCAGGAGTTTATGCGATCAGCACTCCTATCATAAGCTGTACATTTTTAGCATGAATATAAATCTTAAATTCATTAAACACTTACAGGATAATTCACGTAAGTAAAATGAAAAATGAATTTTAAATTGAAGGTAAAATTAGCCGAACTGGAAACATACTCTAATTCAGCTATGCTTCCAGTTCATCTACTTTGGCCTTAAATTTGAAATTCACTTTAAATTCTCACTTTAATGAATAACCTGGTAAAACACATGAAGTAAATAATTTGCACTTGCCTCATTCCACCACTAGAGAGCCCCAACATACTTTTTAAGAAGCAAGGACTGAAGAATGATAGTTCTAAGGGAATATCTTTCTAGTAAACTGTAGAGTTGTAACAGACCAACTATGAAAATGTTATTCAATTTAATTATATTGATGCATTTTATTTATTAATACATTATTATTTATTTTAGAGTCTAGGGAATGCATTTATTTAACAGCACATTTGTTGGTTTACATAGTTTAATAAAAATACAAAACTTGGATGAGTATAATAAAAGTGATATTCAGTTAAACTGAGACACTAGATTGACTGATTAAAAATCAAATTTTTTTCCCATCAAAATAGTTTATTCTCAGAACAAGTAACTTGGTAGACTTGCAAGTTTTAGGTCAAATTCACAGCGTTGGAAAAATTATCCAACCTGGCAATCATTTCAACTTGACTATGTTGACCTAATATTCACACTTTGGGGTCAGTTCTACATAATGCTTTAAAAGGACACTCCACTGCCCAAATACAAAAAAGAAAAATCAGTGTTTAGTTGACGTACCCGCAAATAAAACATGCATACATTTAATTATGTCAGTTTTGTCATTGGCGGTATATCTAAGAACAGCTTGCAAAAGTTGTAGACTCCCCAATGCAGCTCAATGTGAAGTCTTTGCAAGGCAGATTCTCTAAGCAATTTCCGGCTTGTTGAGTTTAAAGGACCACTATAGTGCCAGGAAATCATACTCATTTTCCTGGCACTATAGTGCCCTGAGGGTGCCCCCAACCTCAGGGTCCCCCTCCCGCCGGGCTCTGGGGGGATGAAGGGGTTAAACTTACCTCTTTCTCCAGCGCCGGGCGGGGAGTTCTCCTCCTTCTCTCCACCTCCTCTCCTCCTCTTCGGCTGAAT